AATTGCTTCTTAACATCAATAGTTACACAAAAAGTGCATTTTGTACATGTTTAATATTACTGACAATTTTGAATTATCATTTTTCATGTTTAGTTTTGAAGGGTGGATGCATTGTGGCAACGCACTTTGAAAAAATTACGCACTTTGAAAAAAAATTTCAAAGTGCGTTGAAATTGGGACAAAATCAATTTGAAATTTTTTTTCTGCGTTATTTTTTGAAAAAATTTTTCAAACTCCGTTAAGAGTCTACATCAATATATTTTACCATGGAAACACTTAACGCACTTTGAAAAAAAAAATTAAATCATATTTTAGTAATGGAAAGATTTTATTTGTTATTTATCTTTCAAAAAACTTATGAATTGATTAAAGGAAAAGACAGGTATAAGATTCCTCAATCAAAATCTTTATCTTTTGAATACATAGGTGTCGGTAACAAACGGGGGAGGGGAGCAATAAACTCAAAAAGGGTAAGCTGCATTTTCAATGCTTATACGATGTATATATCTTTCCAGAATAATTGGGGGGCTAAGCCCCTCCTCCCCTGGCCCACTGCCCGGTCTCGATGTCTATGCTATACTCAACACATTTATATAATTATGTATTTACCTAATTGTTATGACGTTGAAAACTTTCAATATTAAATGAGTTAATTAATACAGATGAAAACTAGAAATATTGAAGTACAGTAAAACGTATGAGAGAGAAAGAATTTTTCTTTGTTTTGAACAATCAAATTGAGAGATAAATGCTAAGTTGCTTTAAGATGTCCACTGTTAGTGCCCCCTTTACACCTTTACATATACTTATCAAAGACTAGAATTTAAAGAAAAGAAAGAAACGAATTAATGATCTTAAACAATCGTCACTCTTTTTTTCAAGACCCTTTTCCCTTTTATTTTATCAAAACCTCAAATGTTTAAAACATCAACTTCTCAGGTTCTGAAGTGAGTTCATCATAAAAAAGTCATCCATCCAGGATCTGTTATTTATCATACCGATTATTTGTAAGAATATTGATCAATCTACATTTTTTTTCAAAGTGCGTCAATATGGTCGATATCAACGCACTTTGAAAAAAAATTAATTTTTTCAAAGTGCGTTATAGCTTGGTCCCAAATTTAACGCACTTTGAAAATTTTTTTCAAAATGCGTAATTTTTCAAAGTGCGTTGTAACAATGCATGCTTATGAAAAAATTTTGCAAAGTTTTGAATAATTTTCTATTTTTAAAAACCTCCAAAAGTAATGGTAATGGTAATGCATTACTTTACTAAAGTAATGGTAATGTAATGCATTACTTTACGAAAATAGAGTAATGGTAATGGTAATTTAATGCCCAAATTGTTGAAGTAATGGTAATGTAATGCATTACTTTACAATGTAATTCTCCCCAAGCTTGCAGGAGAGCAGCAGTCAAATTTAAAAGATGGCCCAAACAGCAGAAAGATCATCCATCATGCTGGGTTTGGATAAAGAGAGAGACTAGTGACTGGATACCCACCACCAACGCGCAGTGAGTGATCATCACTATGGCCCCTCCCCCCCATCCTGAAAGTGTACCGAGCTAGAGGTCGAAACATAGAATGAGGGATGGCCTCGGCTGAGGACGTTGATAGTGTAGCAGCAATATCATCACAGTTGTATGTAAGTAACGAACCTCCGATTTTTTACCAACTAAAAGGAGAAAATAAATAATTTACAAAAAGCGTTTTAAATGAACAATTACATCTCAAAAAAATATCTCTTTTAAAACCAAATATAAATATGCATGTAGTTAGCGTATTATATAAGTCGCTGACAATCACTTTCTGTTGCTGTAATGAATACCCTTTTTTATAATCCTCTATGTTTCTATTATTTTTTGTGGCTGATTACTGCAGCAAAACATACATATCAGAATGGAATCGATTTTTTTACTATATATATTGTAAATTTCTTTCCTTCTGAAATACCCTTATATTATTTCACAAATGTAACTGAAGGACCCATACTGGAGGAGGATCTGGGCCTCAGTACAAGTGGCAGTGGAATTTGATGGAATTTTATGGCCACTGCAACAAGGGTCATATAAACAAATGTGAATGTTATTATATTAAATATTACTAGAAAGATAGGAATTAATTACAAAGGAAAATAGCCAGCCTGTAATATCCATTTAATTTATTTTTTTAGGGTCATTGCTTGTTTCTTTTCGGTATTTAATTTAAATACATTGTATATTTAAATTGCTACTTATATCATTAAATTTTACAACATACGTCACTGCTTATGGTACAAGATTTTACATATTATTTTTGCGTCACTGCTGATTATGTATAATTTTACAGTTTGGATTTTTTTTATCCTTTTTCTAAAGCTAGTCTGGTGTAAAACAATATCAAATCTACAAGATAGCTAAAATTATTGGTCCTTGTATTGAATGTACTGTATGATAGTAATATAAGTAAATGAAAAAAGTCTAACGATAGGTTAATCGAATGTCTGTATCTCTCTTAGTAATATACAATAAATTTACCATAATTATCATTTATTTACATTGTTATTTTTATACCGATTTCAAAATATATATCTGAATAGATATAAACATAATATGTGTGATAGTGGCAAGGTTATTGATTTCCATAAGGAGTACTGATTATATCGTGGATAACATCCTTTGGTATCTTGCACAAATACCTGATAAGTTACGTTTTATTACGTTACTTATTGTCCTTTACAATAACAAAAGGACAATCTTTCGGAAAAATATATTAACATATTATATATATGAGGAACCTTTTACGATGGCGTATAAATGCCATTTTAATTTTACAGAATTTTTTAATTGTTTGTACGATTTAGAAATTCGATTAAATGTATACAGTTTAGAAAATCCGACAAAAATATAAGGCGAAAGTTCATTGGTCTGTAAAGACGTCTATAATGGTTTAGTAGATTATGAAATATACATTTTTTTCAAAACTGTTATATTATATTATACTAGTGGCTTTCAAAACCCCTGTCCGTATGATAATCCCCTACCACTGTAACCTACAGCATTTTCACACTTATCTTCTGTAGAATTCTGAGTATGCGCAACGTTTTTAAACTCGACACAAAATCAATTTTAAAACGATCACCATAAAACAATTATCGCATACAAATGTAGTTATAATTTTAAATCCATGCAAGTGCAGAAATTTCAATATGCAAGAGAGAAAACAAGGATAGAAAATTAAAAGTACAGCGTAATTTGTTTTGATAGTCTGCTTTATCGAAAAAAAGTATATTTACCCAAGGTACTGTCAACAAATTACTATTAATGTTTACTTCAATGGGATTACATATCTACATGTAATTTTTAAAAAAACATTTAAACACTGCACGTTAACAATTTATATTGACGTCGTTTGACGTTACAACGTTGAGTAGCATTTCCTGATGTTGCATCAATTTATTGTTATTTATTTCATGAGTATTTAATGTACAAGTTTTGCATTCTGCAACAGAGACATATAGGGGAATAATACTTTAGGATACGGGGTCAAATGCTGGTATGGGTCTCGAGGGATGACACTAAATGTCACTAGGTGTCATCACAAAAACCTCAAGTTAATGCCTACCGTCTCAAATAGGTTCTGCCAGCAAGTCACATGTCACAACGTTTGGTGACCCTGGAAATGCTTCGGTAGCTGAGTGACAGTGGCGAAAGGCGAGTCTCCGGCGCCTTTAAATAACTGGAACCAGTGACTAGGGGAAGGAAAACCCCAAAAGAAAACCACCGCTCCTCCAGGTCCAGGGGATTGGGCATGGGGCTAGCAACTCTATCCCATAAAAAAGTATATGCTATAGAAACCGCAACAACATCACAAGTTCGAGACTTAGATCTGGAAGATGGGTCTCAAGAAGAGCTCATGACGTGTTCAGGTGAAAGCCATCAGGAAGCCAGTTCACCGACAAATCTTCTGTCGATCGAGGCAAACACCAGGATAGGGACCTGGATCATCAGAACCCTATACGAGGTCGGAAAATTTGCCCAAGTAGCTAAGAAATGAAAAGATATAACATCAAGGTACTTGGATTATGTGAGGTAAGGTGGAATGGAAGAGGACAAGTCTGTCTATCATCAGGAGAGACCATAATTTACTCAGGACATGAGGAACAGGACCATGCACACACTCAAGAGTTTGCCTTAATGATGTTACCAGATGCAACAAAAGCAATGATAGCATGGGAACCAGTGTCTTCAAGACTCTGTCAGCCAGGTTCAATCTGTCGCAGTGTGAAAATTGGAGCGGCATCATGCTTTTGTCCATTGCCAGTAAGATCCTAAAAAGAATAATGTTAGAAAGAATGAAAGGAGCATTGGAAAAGAAGCTAAGATCAGAACAAGCAGGGTTCCCCCAGGACAGATCATGCACAGATCAAATTGCCACACTACGCATTATCACTGAGCAGTTCCTTGAATGGCAGTCCCCTCTTTACTCAATCTTCGTGGACTTTGAGAAGGCCTTTGACAGTGTGGATAGGTCAACCAGCTGGACATTAATGAGGCATTATGGAATTCCATCAAAGTTCATACGTATCATCAGGAATTTGTATGACGATGCCACCTGTCATATTATCCATAATGGGAAGCTCACAGATCCTTTCAATGTGGAAACAGGAGTAAGGCAGGGCTGCATCCTCTCACCTACCATATTTCTGATAGTCATTGACTGGATCATGCAGGAAACAACAAAGGGCAGTAAAATGGAATCCAGTGGACCTTCACAAAACAGCTTGAGGACCTGGATTTTGCAGATGACATTGACCTGCTCTCGCACAAGCTACAAGACGCTCAAGAAAAACTTTCAAGATTGGCCCAAAAGACTGGCCTTAAAATAAATACCAAGAAAACCGAGGTGATGAGAATTAACAACAAACAAGAGACATCAATTCAGTTAAATGGGGAGAACATCAAAGAAACTGACAGATTCACCTATCTTGGGAGTATTGTTAACAAGGAAGGTGGAATAGATGAGGACGTCAAAAGCAGAATTAATAAGGCAAGACATGCTTTCCACACCCTGGAATTCTAAAGCTCTCTCCATCAACAGCAAAATCAGGATTTTTAACACAAATGTTAAAGCAGTTCTCTTGTATGGTTCCGAGACCTGGAAAATTGCTACAACAATAAACAGCAAATTACAGTGTTTTATCAACAAATGTCTCCGCCATATCCTTAACATCAGATGGTCTGACACCATATCAAACAAAAGCTTATGGGAGAGAACCAACCAAAATCCTATAGATATCGACATAAAGAAGAGAAAATGGGACTGGATAGGACACACCTTACGCAAACCCTCAAACAACACCACTAAACAAGCTCTGGATTGGAATCCACAAGGAAAGAGGAGGGTTGAGAGACCAAGGCAAACCTGGAGGAGATCTATAGAAATGGAAGCAAAAGAAGCTGGATTTACCTGGACCCAACTAAAAAGGATAGCCCAAAACAGAGTCCAATAACGCGGTGTGGTTGCGGTCCTATGCTCCCCAAGGAGTGAACAGGATAAGTCAAGTTAGTCAAACTATAGGATACTGTTGTTATCTGTAGCCATACAGGTAACTGTACCAAGCTGTTTAATGTTTCATATCTGTGACTTTTCAGGCCAAATATTAACTCAGATTTTTGTTTTCGAGAGGGGGGGGGGCACCACGATGACTTTTATACATGTAGTTAAGTTATATTCACTTAATAGCTCCGCAATTTCTAGGGACACCCCTTCTAGATCCGCGCAAGCATGCAGTATGTTTGACCTTAAGGGACTCCGACCCTCAGCCAGGAAGGACAACTCTTTAATTTATAATTTAATTCAAAAAGTCTTTATATGAAGCTTGAAAATTAAATCTTTTCATGCAACAATTTTCATTATATGCCACTCAATGTGCTTCAAGGTTCTTTGAACTTCTCAGAAAGGTCTAATTAAAAGTAGAAATTTTTATCCCTAAAAAGCATTTTTAGATACCAATGTTTATTAACATGATATGAAATTAGAAGTGATTTATGGAGCTTTGCAAAGAACCTTGAAGCACATTGAGAGGCATATAATGAAAATTGTTGCATGAAAGTATTTAATTTTCAAGCTAAATTTAAAGACTTTTTGAATTAAATTATAAATTAAAGAGTTGTCCTTCCTGGCTGAGGGTCGGAGTCCCTTAAACGGGTTTCTTTGTGTTCTAGGGATTTTTATGCCCCCGTTATCGAAGATTCGGGGGTATATTTAGCTTTTGCCCTGTCCGTCCATCTGTCTGTCCGTTTGTCTGTTTGTCCGCAAAAACTGTAACCTTGCCCATAAGTTTTGATTTAGTGGAACTATGACTTTCATATTTCACAGGTGTATTCCTTGTGACAAAACCTTTCTTTGGGTACCACTAAATTTGACCTTTTGACCTTGACCTCGGAGTTTGACACACTTTTACACTAAAATTCCAAGCTTTTACTTTAGCCAAAATTTTTTAAACGTAGATACTAGGACTTTCATACTTCACATATGTAATCGTTATGACAAGAACATTCATCGGATCCAACAACTTTGACCTTTTGACATTGACCTTGGAGTTTGACGTACTTTATAAAACAAACATTGACCATAACTTTTGAAGGGTTAGGGCTAGGGCTTGCATATTTAATCCTTGTGACAAGACATTTCATAGGATACCAACTATTTTGACCCTTTGACCTTGGAGTTTGACCCACTTTTTAAGAATTTTAACCTTGGCCATAACTTTTGAACAGGTGGCCCTAGGGCAATGGTTCACATGCACCGATAATATTTGATTTTACAGTACCTATTTTTTCACCCCACGATAATATTTGATTTTACTATTTTTTAAGGTTCTGTAGCCCAAATCAGTTAATGGAACCTTTTTTTTTTTTTTTTAAATCTGCAATTAAGAGAATCGTCGATGAAAATCCACAGTCAGTCGTGAATGAGAACAACACGTGGAATAAACCTTTTTTTTTTCTTTAAATCTGCAATTAAGAGAATCGTCGATGAAAATCCACAGTCAGTCGTGAATGAGAACAACACGTGGAATCCAAGATTTTTACCGATTTGTTATATGCAGGGGATATTGGATGTTTGGAATTCATTACAAATTTTAATGGGCTAACTAATTAGTTTGAATATGTCAAAGTTTTTCGTGTTTCCGTTTATAATTTTATAGTCTGCTGAAAATGTAAAGAATGCTTCTGTTTTTAGTATGTAATAAATCTAAAAATCAATTTTCATCACCGTTCTCATTAAAATGCATAGTTATAATGTTCACAGGGAGATTTCAATGACAGATTGAATCGGGTTTTGTTCAGTTTGGTGACGCGGCCTCAGCGTCTCAAGCTGTGTTAAGACAAGGGATTACCGAAGATGATACAGAACACGTGTTACACTAGACAAGGTGAAATCAACCTTGTAAAAAAAAATCAAACCAGAATCCGTCGTGGCGGGAGCAGTGATATCAATTAAAGGGAAAAATATTTTACAAGATTGAATATTTGTAATAATTTAAAGTTACTGGTCATCTCCGAATAAATGCAATTTTAACATCAAGGTCGAGAAAATTAAAGGGTTTCACATCAGCCTATACACCTACAGGTGCTAAAGCCGAAGAAGGGGGAGGTACTACATGTATATGTATACTAGAAAACATAGGTGTAGTGACCCTACAAAAAAGTCAAGTCAATTTTTATGCTTGTGAAATTGTCAAGGAAATCTTGCTTGGTAATTACCCCTACCTTAAAAAATTGTGCCTCCCCTCAAACGGAAATTGTTACCTGTACGATGTGTATCAGATTTGTCATAATATTTTAAATAAACATAAATTGAAGAAGAACGATCCAAGCAACATCATATACAAATAAAGATTTTAAAGATAAGATTCTTGCTTCATCTGAAGAATTAGCATTTCAAAATTAGCGACATTGCAATAATTGTGCAACAAAAAATATCAGACATTTTGATCATCAAATACGAAGAATATACACTTATTAAAATTGCCTTTGAGGATTAAATCTGTGTATAAATACTACACATGTAAAATTGATGAACTGACACATCCCCAAATCAATTTTAACATCCTCCTGTGCTCTCCCATTGTACACGTATAACATCAAAATAATAGAAAATAAATCTCAGTCCATAGAGATAGTCAATAACGGAGTTCTTTTTGTCTATGTGTCACATAATTTTGCAGGACCTACTCCGGTTACTATCGTAGAAACGTGTCCGCGTCGTAAGAAATCGACGCACCAGGTGGAGAGGATTCGATTGGATTTCGCGGATCTTGTTTCGTGGCGATCACATTCCTTTATAAGAAAGATTGGGACAGTGATGCGTCCACTTACATTTATCTTTTGATTTTACATCATCTTATCAAGGTAAGACAATTTTAAGTAAACAAGTATTCAATGAAATTACGCATGTTATTTATAAATCATTTAATGTTGCTTTAATGAAATTAAATTTTTACAGCATTTCAGCAAGAGTAGTAAAACTTTGAATTATGATTTAATTTTTGTTTTCTTGTACAACATTTACTTCGACCAGTTCAAACACCTCTGTTATTTACTCAAAACAAAATGCACGAAAGAGCAATCAGAGGGAAATTTTTTAAAGTGTTATTTGTTTTAATCACAGGCCCGACATGGCAGCTTTGTTTCTCTTCATCGTCCTCATCGCGGCAGTACAAGGTCACAAAAACTACACAGTAACAGAGGAGGCCTGGTTTGACGTTGAAATCAAAGACTTCGATGGCATCGGCGAGGACTACAGGGGAAGGTTCGTCGTAGCATTGTTTGGAGACAAGTGCCCGATGACAACAATGAACTTCCAATCATTAGCTAAAGGATACAAAAGGGGCTCAGTAAGTACCCACTACTATACCATGCATAATTCAGCCTTGCACCGAGATCAAAATGTCGATACGATTTGATGGGGAAGGACAAGGGGTTCATTGATATTTTCAAGAAAATAAGGTATTCTACAATGTATGGTACGGATAAAATGCTCACTACACAACAATGTACATTTGTTAACTTACAATTAACGAATGTCTTTCAAAATTTTTTTTAGTGCAGTGTTGCTTGAATAATTGATCTAGAGTTCGGTTAGAGGTATAGTAAGGGCTAGGGATATAACGCTCTGTGTAGGGTAAAACTAAGACAAGGTTAGGATCGAGTTAAGGTGATGCTTAAGATTAGGGTAAGGGTAAGGGCTAGGGTAAAGTATAGGGTTAGAGCTAAGGTAAGGGCTAGGGTAAAGTATAGGGTTAGAGCTGATGTAAGAGCTCGGGTTAACGCTAAGTATAGTGTTAGAGTTGGGGAGAATTTGGGTAATGTCGTTAGTGTTATTGATAGGTTTAGTGATACAGGCAGGGTTGTACTCTAACTTCTGGTTTAGAGATATTTGAATATCTTGGTGTATATAACAAGTAGGATTCATCGTAAAATAAAGCCATGTCCGTTAAATTGAGGGACTGGGGCACGGGGCGGGGGGGGGGTCTTCTTAGATACAATACACGAACTTTTAAAAGATTTTATTCACATAACTATTATTTCAATGAATAATATTTCTATAAACCATAACAAGATGTCTAAAAATACAAAACCAGTCATTGATAACAAGTAGTCGGGGATCAATGGATTGAACATTACGAAAATATAATGTAAACTTACAGCTAAGATGAGTCTCATAAGTCTTTACAACGATCATAATTCACATACATGTGTATTTACAATCGATTGAGAAATTTCAATAGTCTGATTGAGACGTGGAGTAACAGCTGTTTATATACTTCGATCTTCTGAAGAACAAAAGGAAAGCGGGAACTGCCGCGAGTGTAGACGTGGACATATCAACACGTGGACAGGGAAAAAAATGTCCTCCATCAGATTTATTCTTGATTTAGTTTTTCTATTAAACAAATACAAACAAAAAAAACTTACAAAAATAAATAAATAAACAAAAAATATTTAAATATTTTTAAAAAAAAAAAGAGAGAGAAAAAAAAAACATAACCCCAGCACATCTTTAAAGCAACAATTTGTACTTTATATGAGTATTTTCTTAAACTTAGTAGATATAATTTTGATTACAGAAAACATTAACATACAAGCGATCGCTGATCCACAGAATCGTTCCCGACTTCATAATTCAGATGGGAGACATCACAGTCGGCGACGGAACTGGAGGTACCTATAATCCCCACTTCTCAAAACATTTTGATTCCCTCCATCATGTCAAAGACTGTATTTAAAGAATGAGGAAAATGAAATTCCTCCTCTAGAAGCAATAGTTTTCTTTTTGTAGATTTTGCTTGTTTTTTTTTTCTGCATTTTGCAAATTTCTACAAGCCAGTAACGAACACCTTTTGCATTGTTATTCAAATCATGTACAAATACATGTTTATAAGCACATTTATATGACCTGCTGGACAAACATTCATTGTGCCTATTCTAAAGGAGGTCTACAATTTATAATCATTTAACCTTTCAGGCGAGAGTATCTATGGACCAACCTTCGTTGACGAGAACTTTGAGCTCAGTCACAAAGCTGCTGGGTATGTTTCTATGGCTAACCATGGTCAAGACACCAACGGATCCCAGTTCTTCATTTTACTGAACAAAGCTAGATGGCTGGATGGCAAGCACGTCGTATTTGGAAAAGTTATCAAAGGAATGGTAAGTTACTTCAAAAGTTAAAAATGTACTAGTACAAGTATTGCCAACGTTTTTTCCAGCTTTGTGTCGAAAACATAAGTTCGATTTTTCGAAACTTCTTCTTTTCAAAGTATTTTCAAATGTTTTATATTTTCTAGGACGTCATCCGAACCATTGGAGAAACCCCCACAGACAGTAGAACAGCGGTCCCCAAGAAAACGGTCAAAATCATCGACTGTGGAATCGTGGGAATCGAAAAGAAATACGAACTGACGGAGGCACAGGCTGAATCTAACGATGACTTGTAAATCATAAGTTTACAACATTACGCACATTCAAAGTCATACCATCAAAAATAAACATTGCCATCATCATGTGATCTCATGGACTAAAAGTTTTACATGATATACCCTCAGTTTCTGTCAGTATTTGAGTTTGTATTTTTTGTTGTAATGAGTTGTACGTGTATTTCTTCATTTTACATTGTTTGCATACAAGTTTCTCCCTAGTTGTGTAGATAGGTTAATATTTAATCCTATTGGTGAGAATCAGCGCTGCCTATGAGGCCTTAACAGAGATGATGTATGTAACGGAGGGTCCACCTGCGGTACGGTACTTACTTTACCAAAGCTGGGCTGTAAAAATCTGTAATAAATATATACATATGACGGTCGATAGATCTGTAATAAAAGTGTCTGAACGAACTTAAGAGAATTTTGTTTTTTTAAAAAAAGAATTCTACAGATAATGCTTCGCATGTTTTGTTGCGATGTGTCCAAAAAGCGTAAGTTAATTTTTAAAACTGTATAAGTTTACAAGCCTCCCACGTTCACCTGAGACCATGTCTATTTAATATCAACACTCTCTTTTAGTTAACTTAAGAAGTGATCAGGACAAAAATGTGGTGATAACGAGATAGTGAAGTACAAATCCTTGTACACCTGCTGTCAAAAATGTAAACACTTGCTGTTTATACCTTGTATGTCAATTCCTCCACATCACAACTGATGTGCATAAATAAAGAGATGGTCTGGCCTTCTCAGTTAAATTAACCCTGTCCTGATCATCACACCTGTAAACTGTTAGACAGGAGAGCAGAAACTGATGATTCCCTGATTATTCATTACGGACAACTCTGTATACTCCTTGTAAGAACAGAGATTATCCATTTCTTATAAAATACTGTAAAACCACACAAATGAGAGGGGGGATTTGACTCTGGTTAAAAAGAGTTAAACAGTAATGTATATAAATTTTTACATTTTGTGAACATGAGTTCATGGGTATTTTTATACCTCTAAAGGAAACAACTTAAAAATACTTATTTTTTTAGTTGCTTTTTGTTAATTTATTTAATACAAAAAATAACAAGAAAAAAGACAATACACACGACTCTTGTCTTTGGAAATTCCAGTAAACATCTGCCCTTAAAAAACCTGGCACATTTAAATATCTACTTCAATATTTTATACTTTTCAAAATTTCAAAAGGAATTTTCACCCAATTAGACTTTAACCAACTACAGTTGTGCAGTATTTAATCTGCAAAACCTAACACACATATGACACAGATAATCGTCAAAGCACTGACATGTATTTTAAAATTAAACAAAAGCACAAAGCCAAGTGAAAAATGAAGGAATAGATAAAAGCACTAGGTACTAAAATTATAATATTCCTGTTCTGCATGCATTCAAACTGCAGAATAGAAATAAAAATTATCATTGAATACTTTAACATTGACAAAATTATGTACAATTTTAATTTTAAGTTAAAAATAACAATTAATGCATACATGTTTATGAAATATACCCTAGCGATATTATTGCAAATACTTTCACATCCCAGAATTCAATCATTTATTTTAATTGAATCTGTAAAATCTAGAATATAGGAAAAAAAAATGATTTTTAACCATTCAAAACATAACAAGGAACCAACCATAATGAGTTAAACAAATAATTGCAAATAATCTGAGATTCTGAACACAATTTGTGAACTAATAAATATGGGCAATTAAGGTTTAAAACACCACAGTGTTGATTGGCTGCAGGACACTGAAGGTTTTTTTCTTAAGGGACTCAGTTTGTCTTTTGGATCACTTTGCATTCCCTCCTCTGTATCTGGGAGCTGTAGACAGACTGTAGCAGCCACTTTGTCAGCTGGATGATTCTATAGTCTCTATATCGTTTTTGAGAGTCCTTTTTTGGCAGCCACTTTGATACTGTTGTCTCTCTGCCTTGTCTGATACCCCCCCCCCTTTTTTAGCCTCCACTTTGTCAGCTGGATAACTCTGTTGTCTCTCTGCCTTGTCTGAGACCCCCCCCCCTTTTTAGTGTCCACTTTATCAGCTGGAGGACTCTGTTGTCTCCTCTGTTGTGTCTTCTTCACTAGGCGTCTCGTCAGCCAGCATCTCCAACAGAGTGTTGAATCTCTCTATTATCTGAAAAATGACAAACTTCTGATGCTTAATCCATGGAAAATAAAACAAGAAAGAACAAAAAATGATGAAACTGGAAGTAACCTAGAACATCCCCTTGGATCCACCAAGAATATTTTAAATGAATATCATTCTTGCAAAAAATTGTTCTCACAGCTAATTCAATACAATGCTTTTTCAAGTTTTTTTTTCAAACTGCATTCAAACTGCAGAATAGAAATAAAAATTATCATTGAATACTTTAACATTGACAAAATTATGTACAATTTTAATTTTAAGTTAAAAATAACAATTAATGCATACATGTTTATGAAATATACCCTGCTTTTTTTCACATCCCAGAATTCAATCATTTATTTTAATTGAATCTGTAAAATCTAGAATATAGGAAAAAAAAATGATTTTTAACCATTTAACAAGGAACCAACCATAATGAGTTAAACAAATAATTGCAAATAATCTGAGATTTGAACACAAAAGGCTGCAGGACACTGAAGGTTTTTTTCTTAAAAACTTTTGGATCACTTTGCATTCCCTCCTGTATCTGGGAGCTGTAGACAGACTGTAGCAGCCACTTTGTCAGCTGGATGATTCTATAGTCTCTATATTTGTTTTGCAACTTTGATACTGTTGTCTCTCTGCCTTGTCTTTTTAGCCTCCATGTTTCTCTCTGCCTTGTCTGAGACCCCCCCCCCCCCTTTTTAGTGTCCACTTTATCAGCTGGCCGTGTTGTGCTTTAACCAGCATCTCCAACAGAGTGTTGAATTCTCTATTATCTGAAAAATGACAAACTTCTGATGCTTAATCCATGGAAAATAAAACAAGAAAGAACAAAAAATGATGAAACTGGAAGTCCCATCCCCTTGGCATCAAAAACAATGCTTTTTCAAGTAAAATTCACTTACACAAAAATCACGTTTCAATTGTGGCATTTTAAAGACCTACATGAATAAAACAGATTTAATGGAATCAATAGTGTTATTGCATATGCGATAGTGGGCAGTAATTTTATCTTAAAATTAATGGTATATTTCTCAATATGCAATTGTCTTTTGACTTCTCAAAATAGAAAATATTTTAAAGTAATTTCTAACCTTGTCCATTCAATCTGTGGTGTTGCAGGAGTTGTCTCTCTTTTCTCAACTGGTGCATCCGATGCCTGAGTGGAACTAGGACTTCCTTTAGGTTCTTCTTGACCACATCCAACAACACTGGAAATAATGTTCCCAGATGGAGAGGCCACATTCTGGTTTTTACTCAGTTTTAGTTTCAGACCTTGGCCAGCTGAAGATCCCGATACAGACTCCTCTGTGGAACACGACTTTGGATTTGGGCTTACTTTTAAAGACAGATTGGAATTGTCATTGTGGAACACTGGGGAGTTTGTGTAGGCAATAACAGGGCTAGAGGCTGAGGGACTTTTAAGGAATTCAACATTGTCTATGCTGGACAAAGAAAATGCAGGCGAGACACAACTTGTTTCTGCAGTGACTGGTTTGGGTACTATTCTTCTTTTCTCACTTATTTTCTTCTTCTGTCTATCTGTAGGACTAAAGTCTAATTGTTTAGCACTTGATAAAAAGCTTTTTTCTGAATCTGACTTCTCTACATTTTTGGCCATATTCTTAGTCTCTTTTGTCTCTTTTTCAGATACTATTGAAAATCCAAAATTAGTTGAAGACACCGAGGTTTTTATTGGACTAGATGTACTCTGTGGTTTGTTGCCTAATTGTGAGGAATCTAACGTCATAGACACATCTGACTGACTTATCATGGCCTCGTGTAAAGCCTTGGCAAGCAAGTCAGAACAAGAACTGTCTCTGTTTTGAGAACTATGTCCATCCATGGCAACCTCCTCCATAAGAGCTGGAGGGGTTTTCTGAGGTGACAAGTTAGCACTTTCCACCCATGAACTGATGGTGAATTCTCCTTCAGAATTCTTCTTTGGTGTGGTTTCAGTGTTTGGGATGGATATTATGGCCCCTGCGAAGTCCTCATTGCTGTCTGCTGTGACGGTCACTTCCACTGACCTGGGTACTTTGGACAGTGGAGACGTTTCCTCAACTTTCTCCACTACTCCCCCAGGATTTGTTTCCTCTTGCCTTCGTTGGTCCTGAGGGGGGATCAGATCAGGTAGACCACAACCAAGCTGAGATTCCTCTGAGTGGTCTGTACTTTCCACTCCTTCAGTTCTTAGCACTGAGACCGATTCCCTGTCTCCACTCTTCTCACCTTCTTCAGTCATTTCCTGTGGCTGACTGGACGTGGAGGGAAGGTTGTCCAGGTCAGAAATCTGGTCCCCAGTTTCTGTTGAAACACTTGTAACTGTTTTCTTGACAGGAGAATCAGCCATTTCTTTGATAGAAAAGAAGCGCCCCTGTTTCCCCTTCTTTCTGCTAGATATCTTAAGCTGAAATAAAAGATCACCATTAAGTTTTTGTTTGCAAAGATCTATAACCCTATTGTTACATGCAGAATAATATGAAATACAGTAAAACATGCTGAAAACAAAATACCAGTTCTAGAGGATTTTGCTTTGTTAAATGCATAATTTGTTACTAGTATATCCCCTCAGCTTAAAATATATTTTGAAAACCAGGGGAATTAATATCACACTGCTAAAACAATTCATTATCGGTGTGTTCAATATAAATGTGTGTTAATGTTTTTGAAATGCAATTTGTTTAGCAGCATTATAAGAATGTTCCCATTTGTACCTGTATTCCGATGTTCTTTGGGCTTCTATATTCTTTGGTTGCCTGATCTGTAGGTTTAACTTTATTCCTAAATTTCTTTGTCATCTGAACTGTATGCTAACATTTATTTCTGCATTCTTTCGTCATGTGATCTGTCAGTTTACCTTTATTCCCACGTTCTTTGGTCGTCTGATCTTCATTTTTATTCCTACATTCTTTGGTCCTTTACCTTTATCCCTACATTCTTTGGTCCTTTACCTTTATCCCTACATTCTTTGGTCCTTTACCTTTATCCCTACGTTCTTTGGTCCTTTACCTTTATTCCTACATTCTTTGGTCGCCTGATCTGATCTTTACCTTTATTCCTACATTCTTTGGTCATGTGATCTGTACATTTACCTTTATTCCTATGTTCTTTGGTCGTCTGATCTTTATTTATTCCTACGTTCTTTGGTCATCTGATCTTTATTTATTCCTACGTTCTTTGGTCATCTGATCTTTATTTATTCCTACATTCTTTGGTCAACTGATCTTTATTTATTCCTATGTTCTTAGGTTGTCTGATCGTTACCTTTATTCCTATGTTCTTTGGTCATCTGATCTTTACCTTTATTCCTACGTTCTTTGGTCGTCTGATCTTTATTTATTCCTACATTCTTTGGTCATCTGATCTTTATTTATTCCTATGTTCTTAGGTTGTCTGATCGTTACCTTTATTCCTACATTCTTTGGTCATCTGATCTTTACCTTTATTCCTACGTTCTTTGGTCGTCTGATCTTTATTTATTCCTACATTCTTTGGTCATCTGATCTTTATTTATTCCTATGTTCTTAGGTTGTCTGATCGTTACCTTTATTCCTACATTCTTTGGTCATCTGATCTTTACCTTTATTCCTATGTTCTTTGGTCGTCTGATCTTTATTTATTCCTACATTCTTTGGTCATCTGATCTTTATTTATTCCTATGTTCTTAGGTTGTCTGATTGTTACCTTTATTCCCATGTTCCTTGGTCGTCTGATCTGTACGTTCTCTTTCTCTGCTCCCTCCTCATCTTCCTCCCACTGGGCCGGTGTCATCGGTTCTGTCTTCACTCTCGTCTTCTCCACCTCCTCCTCTTCTTCCTCTAGGCTGCTCAGAGGTTTAACTTCGGGGTAATACTTCACCCTCACTTTCTTTATGACTTGTCTATTGATCCTGTAGTATAGCTCTCCATCAATTACCTAAACAAGGGAAGTTTAATATTACTGTATTTTGTTAGTTTTACTGTATTTACTGTATTATTATTTCTATTACTGTATTTTGTAATCAAAAGTAAATATTTTATATAATTTTATACCCCTTCATCTTAATACATTATTGAAATTAAATTATACTCCATAATATTTAAAAGATTTCTGTAAGTGATATGATAAAGTTTTGCTTAAATTTCCAAGTTTACCCATTAAAAAAGCAGTTAATATGTACCAAACATTAATTTTTTAATGAAATTTTTTTAAGTTTGTTTAAATCTCAGAATATAATACATGTACCTTCAAACAACAGTTTGTACAGTGAATATTCCTCATGTGGAAGTTTTTAGCATTGGGATTTTGATGACAATTACACATGCACTTCTTAGTTCCATCAGGATTTTCATCTTCTGGAATGACCACTTCCTCAAAATCATCAAACAGGAACCCTTCGTCTTCATCACTGTCTGCCAGAGTTATCTCCTCAAAATCAGTCATATAGCTGTAATAACAAGTCAATAAATAATCATGTAAATTCTTCATATACCTGGTATAAAAAGTATATATGTATTCACAATTTTTCAAATATTTTGTTAATGCCCTTTAAGCACTATGACTACCTGTCAGGGGGCTTTTCATCCTCAAAAAAGAGGGACAACTCATCCAGGAGATGTGGTTGGTTCTTCAGAACTTGTTCCAGGGTTTCCTTCAGCACCCTCTCCTCCTCCTTGGAGCCACCTGGGGCCCACTTTGTCAGCAGTTTCATGGTTTTCTGATACTGAGATGGATGTCTCTCAGCGTATACCTATAACATTCATATAAATACACCATAATGATTAATTGTTCATTTATATCAGTGTGTCTTATGTTCTATTCATTTAAACAGTGTTACAAGGATTGGTCAAACTAAATCTTTTTATTCAAAATCAAAGTGGGATGCATCTCAATGCTAAATTGCATATTCTTTATAAACAATCAACACTCGAGGCAATCAGTTATCAAAATAGTTGTCAGTTGTACACTCAGACAAAGACTTACCCCATAATTCAAGTACAAAGGCCCTGGCTCTATACACTCAACTCTAAACTTATGTAGGAAGGTCACATAGGAAGGCCTTAGCCCTGTACGCACCTCTTATTTATGTATGAAGGTTCTGGCCCTGTACACTCACCTCTAACATAACTATGTAGGAAGATCCTGGCCCTATACATTTGCCTCTTATTAATGTACAAAGTTCTTTGTCCTGTACAATCACCTCTAATTTACGTAGGAAGGTCCTGGCCCTATACATTTGCCTCTAATTTCTGTAGGAAGGTCCTAGCCTTCTACACTCACCTCTAATTTATGTAGCAAGGTCAAAACCCTTTATACTCACCTCTAATTTATGTAACAAGGTCAAAACCCCGTACATAGGCAATTTAGCCACATATGATCCACATATGCATTGTCTTTCATATGAGAATCATATGTATATACAATCATATGAGAATCATATGTGGCAAATCATATCCTTTCATTTCGGTTACAGGTTCGTATGAACTTATGTCTATAATACTCTCATCAATTGTAATTGTTGAATTTCAATTAATGCATTTCGCAAACCTACATAAGGTTAGATCTAGTGATCTGTAAGTATAATTATTTTGGATAAATGTGTTTCTCAAAGGATGTAAACATTACAATTTACGTGTTAGGCTAAAGGCATTACTTTGTTTTCTTTTCTCTTTTTTTGACTTTTGTTACGTACTGATTTGAAAGTGAAAGTAGAAACCCTGTATTATAGCTGTTGGCGTTTTGTATGTTGAGATCGTTATCAAGTCGATTCTTTCATCGACTTAATGACAGATGTTTGTTTTTATGGCATATAGATGCATTCAACAACTTGAGTTCAGTGTCACAGTGCTGCTTTTTTATGAAGTCCACGAAGCCCAAAGCTAATAAGACTGGCGATTGATCCTACAGCTGATTCTGACAGACGATTGCACCATCACAATATTATTAAAGGTAAAAATATTGCAATAAAAAATGAAAGTGTACATCTGTAATGACTCCCTTATGACAAAATATTTCTTGATAATTTCTTTTTGTTCCTTTATAATTCTACATTGTTTGCACAGCTTCATCAAAAATAAATTCAACTCAATAAGGCCATAATAAAAACATTCCTAGATTCTCATCCCCGCCCGCCCCGATTTTATACCCCTGCCTCGATTTTTTTTTATTTCTGTATTTCGTCGTCTTAATTCTGATCAGGATCGTTATTCATCTACCATTCTACTTTCGTTTTAAATCCCGCGAAAGTCGACATTATTTTGACAGCTGAAAAGATGTTAATTGCTGTAATACATGCGTATATATTTTAAACAAGGGTCATTGGTTGAAAAAGATTGGTGATGATGTGAAGTAAGAGATAAATGAACCTTTACTATGACTTTTATTCGGGTATTGTAGATAAAATTACACCGATTGACCAGGTCAATAAAAAATCTGCAAAATTGAAAAAATAAAGAATACAAAATAAAAGCCGCCCGCCCGCCTATATTTTAAAAAAAATTCGGATGAGAATCTAGCAATTTATTTATTATGGCCTAATATAGAAGTTTTATTCTACATTATGAAACAATTTTAATTGTAAATGCACTTTTTAAATATGGAAAGTATGAATAGAATTTTCTTGCTTTAAAAGCTATGAAACTATACAATTACTTCAAGGGGTAAATTGAATTTTTGAATTTCAGCAAAAAATTAATAATAACAGTGGCAACTTTCAAGGTACAAATACATGTGCATGTGACTATGTGTTGAAAGTACATGTACATCAGATAGCTAATCCATTGAATATTTACATCTATGTATTCATTGACATTTATAATTTTTTTCCAACACTAGAGAACCTAGTTTCAGGTAAATTGTGAGATATTTAGGACAATTGAGAACCTACAAACTTGTACTCTCTCTTTTTGTAGTTTAAGTTTTAGTTATGCTTAGAAAATATCTACTGCGTGAATATTTGTTCTACAGGTTCAATATACAGTCAGCCTATCATAAGAAAAAATCCATAGATCCAAGGCTTGCTTCAAAGTTAAGGTAACTACACACTGTTTAATAGACTTTGTTATATTCTGCCCAACAAAGTCAAGGATATCCTTGAAACACAAATTCTGTTTTTTCTGCCTATTTGTGTCAAAATATTCTTAATTTTTGGCAATTTGAATTAATATATACTATTTGAACATTCCAAATTCAATTGTCAAATAGAAAAAAAATGCTTTTTTAATGATTTTTATATGAAGCATATCTTCCAAAAGTGTAATTGTCTTGCAAAATTCAATTGTCAAAATTAAAAAAAAATGCTTCTTATAATTTCATTATGAAGAATATCTTCTAACACTGTAAATGTCTTGCAAATTACATCATAGGATTCCACAAAACACCTTGTATAACATATATAACATTAGTTTTACCTCGTATTAAATCTGTGTCGGTGAATTGGGAATACATTTGTTTGCTGATGATTAGTTTAACTTTAATATAACTTGTAGAATTGATTTTGTAAATTTAGAATCATTTTATTTTTATTTTTGAAATTTTTGTAGAGACCATTCTGGGCCACAAAGAAATTGTTTAGGAAGGGGAGAACTGGTGGATTTGCATTTTTGGTACAGTTCAAAGAGATTTTCAAAATGGTCAGATTAGAGGGAGGACAGCTGAAAATAATAGAGATACAGAAGGAAAAAGAACAAGGAAATATATGGAATAATTATGAAATGGGGAGGATGTACACAATTTTGTCTGAATTTGACCTGTAAAGATTTCCCATTCTTATATGTATGCTGGAATAACAAATAATTGGATTTTTCATAAATTTATAATAGAGAATACATGACAAATGTTATTGCTGATGTTTCAATTTTGCTGTGGACACCTTCATGTCATATGGTATTTTTGTACAAGTATATGACCTAATCATGTTATTCATTTGTACATGTATACATGTTCAACTACTTAATCATTTTGCTGAAATCTTATAATTTGTACTCATTTTAGAATATGTTAAATACATGTATCGACAAATGCTACTGACTTGTTTGTATATTTTCTTGTTTAGAATGTACACTGTGAAAAATAAGTTATTTCTCTTGATGAAAATAATTTTATCAAAAAAGTTGTGTAAGCATTATAAGATATTTTAAGATATGTAACCAATGAAGATAGATCACTGTAATGTAATGAATTTTCATCTAAATCAGAAATATCTGATTTTTAAATGTGTACAAGAATGTGAAAAATATTGAAAGAGAACACACATAAGTGTTTCATATGATTTACATATGATGCCCTTTTCATATGATTCTCATATGTAAATGGCTTGAAACACACATAAATGTTTCATATGATTTACATATGATGCCCTTTTCATATGATTCTTATATGTAAATGGCTTGAAACACACTTAAATCATTCATATGAAAATCATATGTAGTTATTTTCATATGATTCACAGATGCGGATCATATGTAAATCATATGATTTGCTTCATATGATTCACATATGATGCCCTTTTCCTATGATTTTCATATGAAACCAATCATATGAGAATCATATGATACTCATATGAGAATCATATGTGGCTAAGTTGCCTGTGTATACTCACTTCTAATTTACGTAGGATTGTAGGAAGGTTCTGACCCTCTTCACTCACCTCTAATTTACGTAGGAAGGTCCTGGCCCTCCTAAAGCGGAGGTTCTCCATAAAGCAGCCACACTCCACTGCCTGACTGGGGGACAGAAAAGCTGAGAAATCCTCCACCAGGTCAGGGAAATTCCTCAACAGCACCTTCATTTCTCTGTACAGCTGTATATATAAAATCAATGTTTTATTCATGATATCAATGTTACAGGTATAACAACACTGATTTTTTTTCCCCCCATCATTAAGCCCAACAAAGCTTTCTTAACAAAGCTGATGAGTGATGGACAAGAATTAAATTTATATTTAATAAAAAAATAATTTGTCAGGGTATAAACTGTAAACCTTAAAGTTTAAACTACAGTATACTAAAATTTTACTTTAATTTGAAGTGCAAACTGATATATGGTTGTTTTAAAGATGCCCACTACATGGCAAAGTATTGTAGTTGTTGGCATACCATCTACAGAATGAAGATCCTTAAGTTTGAAATAATTTTCTCTTTTTTTTTTTTAATGATATTGAGCTGTTTGTATGACCACGTTACTTGTCAAGTTCAGGTTTAATTTAGCATAAAAAGGTTGATGGACCTTGAGTGTGTCATTTGAATATCATTAGTTGTTCCACATACTCTCAAGATATGAACTATGTTTCAAATATGCATTCTGAACTTGTTCCACATTATCATTTACTCTGACACAAATTTGAAAAAAAGAATTTCATTTTTTTTTCTTTTTTTTCAATAAAGAACCTTGTATGTCCTCTTTAAAAAAAATTTAATCCAAAGAAAAATACATGTATTTTAAATTTCCATTTAGCGTCACATTCAAAAGAATGATATTACTTTGAAAATGGTTCCAACCTTTTTGAAAAGAATTTAAATAAAAATTTTCATACAATCAATTTCTAACAGAAACATAAGATTTTAGCTCACCTGAGCCGAAGGCTCAAGTTAGCTTTTCTGACCACATTTTGTCCGTCGTCCGTCCGTCTGTAAACTTTTCACATTTTCGACTTCTTCTCAAGAACCAATAGGCCAATTTTAACCAAACTTGGTACAAAGCATCCTTGGGTGAAGGGGAGTTTAAATTGTTAAAATGAAGGGCCAAGTCCCCTTACAAGGAGAGATAATCAAGAAAAGACAACAAGAGGCCCATGGGCCACATCGCTCACCTGAGAAGCTTTGACCATTCTGTTTTTTACTAGATTTCCCCCTTGTAATACATATTGTGACCCCACCCTACCCCACTGATCATAATTTAGACAATTTAAAATCTACACTACCCCAGGATACTTCCACATAAGTTTTAGCTTTTCTGGCTTAGTGGTTCTTGAGAAGAAGATTTCCAAGATTTTTCCTTTATATTTCTATGTAAAACTTTGATTCCCCATTGTGGCCCCGTCCATCCCCCGGGGGTCATGATTTGAACAATTTAGCTTCTACACTTCCACAGGGTGCTTCCACATAAGTTTCAGCTTTTCTGGTCCAGTGATTCTTGAGAAGAAGATTTTTAAAGATTTTTCCTATATATTTTCTATGAAAAAACTTTGATTCCCCATTGTGGCCCCGCCCAACCCCCGGGGGTCATGATTTGAACAATTTAGAATCAACACTACCTGAGGATGCTTCCACATAAGTTTCAGCTTTTCTGGCTCAGTGGTTCTTGAGAAGAAGATTTTTAAAGATTTTTCCTATATATTTCTATGTAAAACTTTGATTCCACATTGTGGCCCCGCCCAACCCCCGGGGGTCATGATTTGAATAATATAGAATCTACACTACCTGAGGATGCTTCCACTTAAGTTTCATCTTTTCTGGCTCAGTGGTTCTTGAGAAGAAGATTTTTAAAGATTTTTCCTATATATTTCTATGTAAAACTTTGATTCCCCATTGTGGCCCCGCCCTACCCCGGGGGGTCATGATTTGAACAATTTAGAATCTACACTATCTGAGGATGCTTCCACACAAGTTTCAGCTTTTCTGGCCCAGTGGTTCTTGAGAAGAAGATTTTTTAATGACCCCACCCTATTTTTGTCTTTTCTTGATTATCTCCCCTTGAGAAGGGACTTGGCCCTTCATTTTAACAATTTAAATTCCCCTTCACCCAAGGATGCTTTGTACCAAGTTTGGTCAAAACTGGCCCAGTGGTTCTTAAGAAGAAGTCGAAAATGTGAAAAGTTTATGGACGGACAGACGGACGGACGACGGACAAAATGTGATCGGAAAAGCTCACTTGAGCCTTCAGCTCAGGTGAGCTAAAAATAGGGTGGGGTCACTAAAAAATCTTCTTCTCAAGAACCACTGGGCCAGGAAAGCTGAAACTTATGTGGAAGCATCCTTGGGTAGTGTAGATATTAAATTGTTAAAATCATGACCCCCAGGGGTACAGCGGGCCACAATAGGGAATCCAAGTTTTACATAGAAAATATATAGAACAAATCTTTAAAAATCTTCTCCCTAGAAACCACAGGGCCAGGGAAGCTGAAACTTATGTGGAAGCATCCTTGGGTAGTGTAAGATATTAAATTGTTAAAATCATGACCCCTGGGGGTAGGGCGGGGCCACAATAGGGAATCCAAGTTTTACATAGAAAATATATAGAACAAATCTTTAAAAATCTTCTCCCTAGAAACCACAGGGCCAGGGAAGCTGAAACTTATGTGGAAGCATCCTTGGGTAGTGTAAGATATTAAATTGTTAAAAACATGACCCCCAGGGGTACAGCGGGCCACAATAGGGAATCCAAGTTTTACATAGAAATATATAGAACAAATCTTTAAAAATCTTCTTCTCAAGAACCACTGGGCCAAGAAAGCTGAGACTTATGTGGAAGCATCCTTGGGTAGTGTAGATATTAAATTGTTAAAATCATGACCCCCGGGGATAGGGCGGGGCCACAATAGGGAATCCAAGTTTTACATAGAAATATATAGAACAAATCTTTAAAAATCTTCTTCTCAAGAACCACTGGGCCAAGAAAGCTGAAACTTATGTGGAAGCATCCTTGGGTAGTGTAGATATTAAATTGTTAAAATCATGACCCCTGGGGGTAGGGCGGGCCCACAATAGGGAATCCAAGTTTTACATAGAAATATATAGAACAAATCTTTAAAAATCTTCTCCCTAGAAACCACAGGGCCAGGGAAGCTGAAACTTATGTGGAAGCATCCTTGGGTAGTGTAGATATTAAATTGTTAAAAAAAAGACCCCTAGGGGTACAGTGGGCCAAAATAGGGAATCCAAGTTTTACATAGAAATATATAGAACAAATCTTTAAAAATCTTCTTCTCAAGAACCACTGGGCCAAGAAAGCTGAAACTTATGTGGAAGCATCCTTGGGTAGTGTAGATATTAAATTGTTAAAATCATGACCCCTGGGGGTAGGGCAGGGCCACAATGGCCGACCCAATTTTTACATAGAAATATATAGAACAAATCTTTAAAAATCTTCTCCCTAGAAACCACAGGGCCAGGGAAGCTGAAACTTATGTGGAAGCATCCTTGGGTAGTGTAGATATTAAATTGTTAAAAACATGACCCCCAGGGGTACAGCGGGCCACAATAGGGAATCCAAGTTTTACATAGAAATATATAGAACAAATCTTTAAAAATCTTCTTCTCAAGAACCACTAGGCCAGGAAAGCTGAAACTTATGTGGAAGCATCCTTGGAAAGTGTAGATATTAAATTGTTAAAATCATGACCCCTGGGGGTAGGGCGGGGCCACAATAGGGAATCCAAGTTTTACTTAGAAATTAGCTGCAGATCTGTAGCGTTATGGTTTTATATATTTGTCTTTGACCATAACGCTACAGATCCCGTAGTGCAAAAAAGGTGGAATTTACGGCGCAATATTTTTGCGCTCTTTTGGGGAGAATTTCTCCACTTCCTAGCTTTGGTCAATCAACTACCTTTCACGTTCTAATTCTAGACACATTCTGTAGCCAATATGTATAGTTTATCCACCTCCCAACCATTTATAGTTGTCTCTACAGGCAATAAACTCGCTGGATATGAATTTTCAGTAATCTAACAAATAATTTTAATCAAGCGAGTTTATCACTTGTAGAGACGACTATAAAGGGTTGGGAGATGGATAAAATATATACAGATTAATTAAATAATGTGTCTAGAATTAGGGGTTGAAAGGTAGTTGATTAAACGATGCTGGAAAGTAGAGAAATTCTCCCCAAAAGAGCGCAAAAAATATTGCGCCGTAAATTGCACCTTTTTTGCACTACAGGATCTGTAGAGTTATGGTCAAAGTATATAAAAACCATAACGCTACAGATCTGCAGCTACTTAGAAATATATAGAACAAATCTTTAAAAATCTTCTTCTCAAGAACCACTGGGCCAGGAAAGCTGAAACTTATGTGGGAGCATCCTTGGGTAGTGTAGATATTAAATTGTTGAAATAGTGACCCCCAGGGGTACAGCGGGCCACAATAGGGAATCCAAGTTTTACATAGAAATATATAGAACAATTCTTTAAAAATCTTCTTCTCAAGAACCACTGGGCCAGGAAAGCTGAAACTTATGTGGAAGCATCCTTGGATAGTGTAGATATTAATTGTTAAAATAATGACCCCCGGGGGTAGGGTGGGGCCACAATAGGGAATCCAAGTTTTACATAGAAATATATAGAACAAATCTTTAAAAATCTTCTTCTCAAGAACCACTGGGCCAGGAAAGCTGAAACTTATGTGGAAGCATCCTTGGGTAGTGTAGATATTACATTGTTAAAATAGTGACCCCTGGGGGTAGGGTGGGGCCACAATAGGGAATCCAAGTTTTACATAGAAATATATAGAACAAATCTTTAAAAATCTTCTCAAGAACCATTTGGCCAGGAAAGCTGAAACTTATGTGGAAGCATCCTTTGGTAGTATAGATTCTACAGTTTTAAAATAAAAAAGGGAAGGGGGGTTGTTGGGCATGATAGGTATAGCAAGAGGGGAATCTGGTAAAGATCTGCATCACCCAAGTTACTCAGGTGAGCGATGTGGCCCATGGGCCTCTTGTTTAAGAATCTGCAATTATATATAAGGCTTAATTTTTTGGTCTTTGACATTAACTCGTCTGCTCATACAGAATTATACATTGTAGTATTGTTAGATTGTAATCCGTATGTAGTAATTATAATAGTTGTCATAATTACACATCTTTTTTTTTTTTCATTTATGTCACATATGCTCTAAAAAGTACTTTTAAAGCATCTGGTCCCTCTGACATTTTATTACTTTCAATATTGACATAGAAATCTATTTTCAGATGCCAGCATGATTTGGGCACGCGAGGAGCACAAGCTTTACCTCAGACAAGCTGTAATTTCTGACAGAAAGTTAAAAAATAATACAGGATTATCCTCAGTTTATTACAAGTAATGTACATTATCTTATGCCTGACATTTTTATAGAGCTGTTTAAGGACTCTGAAATAGCCCTCAAATGTAGCACACAGGATAACCCCTGTTAATAATAAATTTAACACAAAAAGTAAGAAATTGGCCATAAAGCTATAAACTGGAGAGTGGATTTCAAAACTGTTGATATTTCTAATGACCGCATTGACAGCCATTATCCTAGTTTGATTCTTGTTTTATGTCTTGTTATACTCTGATCAATGTCCAAGCTTATTTTACTTGTTTACCTTGTTAGAAATTTATTACATTTTTATTTCTTAATTGATATAATGGGCAGAAGAACAAATAAATGCTGCAATAACAAGGGTTTTAGGTTCAAATTGTCCAATCTAATAAAAATAATAAATGTTGAAAATTAATTTTTTAATTTGCATGAAATCTGCATAGTACATATTTCAAAATTTACTTTTAAAATTTCAAAATGGGTGCAAAATTTTTTTTATTAATTTACAGTTTTAAATTTTAAAGAGAATCACTAGATATTTCATTAAATACCAGTATTTAATAATTATGTAACAGACATATTTGTATCAATACCAGGAATTAAATTATAAGAAATGCATTTTTTCTTTCTTCGATATTTATCTATTCTACTTTTTTTAAATTACATCCATCCTGTATTAAAACACTTAATTTAACAGGTGTACAACTTATCAAATTAATCATCAATATCACCGGTTAGCTGTTGAACTTGAGAAGAGAGATGTCTCAATTCAAAATGGGACTAAAACAGTTATCATAAAACCCATGTAAGGTTCTGCACAAAAGTTTTCCCCAATACTTGTTCCAAACAAATGCAGTTCTAATAGTTACTATGCCATGTGACCTTGGCCTTATCCAAATGACTTTTTTCTAAGGACTTTACTCTGTGCTGTGCTTGAAATCTCTCTGGCACAGAAAATTTTGAAAGAGTCTTGTTTTAAGATATAGCTTAATTTTTTATTCAGACTACACAATTTTCAATTGAGTGACATAAAATTTTACAAGTTCCTTCTTTCTTTAATTTTTTTTAAAAATGTATTTGTTTAACTGATCCTTTAAAAAATTCCAAGATATTGAATATTATTTAAGGTCAAGATCTAGTGAATGAAAGGTGCCTACAGATATATCAAATTTAAGAAATAAATTCTTTTAATGATGCTTTATAACTTATGCTTGGTCAAATAAGGTGTTTGGTAGCATAATTTGTAAGTAAACAAGATGAAAAATCATATTTTAAACTGTTATTTCCAATGAAAAATTAAGAAAACCAGTCATGAATATAGGAGTTTTTTTCCATATCAGACAAAGAAAATGTATCCAGAAAATGATAATTTGTATGTTCTTGGCCTCTTCTTTAAATACAATGTAATGTAAAATTTAATATAGGTATCAGGACTACCTTTCATGTGTTTCAAATTGAATTCCATGAAAATACTTTATTATCTACATAATTCTATTGGAGCTGTAAAGTACAGAAAAAAAGAGAATTGAAAATGATTGTGACGTCATAATGGATTTAGCACCAAAAAGTCTAAAGACATTTACTAGATCTTGACCTTAAGTTCTTTTGACACCCCCCCCCCCCCCATTCCATGCCTGCACTCTTGACCCTTTGACATTTTCAAAATTGTTCAAGGTACACCAAGCAAAGACTTTTCATCCAGAAATCTGTCTTTATTAAATAAAATGTATAGTATTTGAAGTTAATTGATCAAGCCAATACTGTAAATCACTTAATTTTTGCGACACATTATTATTTTCGCGAGATAGACATTATCTCTTTATAAGCGAGACAAATTTTTCATGAATTGTGGTTATTGCTCTACATCTTATGGAATATTATAAGCAAGAATGAAATTTTCGCGAGCACACTGTCTAGCGTAATTACACAAAAATTTAGTTCTCATGAACAAAAAGTGATTTACAGTAACCATTTTGAATCTTTCTCAGACCTGTATTAACCTATACAACAAAGATGAAGTCTGCAGGTTAAAAATTATCAAAATTATCACAGTAAATTATAAAATTAATTATCCTGATAAGTAATATCTACTCTGTCTTTGACCTTATACCAAAGTTTATTCAAAATTGGATTTTATTTCATCTACACCTTTTGAAATAAATTCTATATATGGAAAGTTATGGGTGAAGCTTGAAAAAAAAATTCTAAGTTATTAAATGAAATATGAAGATCCATAAAATTGTGAAATGTCATAACAATTATTTTTGCTCTCTGTCAATGACTTTGATCAAACCGTCCTCTAAAATGTAAACAGTTTATGTTTTCCTTTTTAAAATCTTTCACCTATGTATAGTAAAATAAATATAAACTTAGGATTCAATGGCTATTATAAATCATAAATTATTGGCATGAATACTTAAATGGTGATTATTATATATAAGGCACCAATATTTTGATTTTGACCTGAAAAAAAATCTGTAACATATCTTTAAATCTAAATTCTTCATTTTGTAAGCTTATTGCTCAAATATATATATATTTTAAAAAAAAACAGTTGTATTCCCTGCAGTATAACTTTTGAGCCACCCTGTACAGCAACAATTAACTTTAGGACAATACACATTATGGTACATTTGCCCCCACACACTTCAGCTATCATTATTCTCAACTTTTCCATTGAAATGACAAATTCTTCATTTCCATCCATTTAAAAGGAGAATTTATTTAGTACATCTTTGCAAGGACTCCAAATAGATTATCCTGACTGTTTATAGACCTCAAACAAAGCAAAGGATATGACAACAAGATGTGAAATGTGCTTTGTTTAATAGACTTCATGTGTATTATGGATGTCGAGAGTCATGATATTTGAACAATCAGAAAGACTATATCCCACTCAAGAGTAAATTTGAGCTGCCTTGCTATTGAAGTGTTGATTTAACTGATGACAACAACTTTTCCTTGGATTTTTCTTACCCAATCCTGGATCAGAGTAAATATAACTATTATTTTGGATAACAGCTGTGATATCATAATACTTTTTAATTTGTGAGTGCAGAGAGGGAAAATATGTGTCGAAAAGGAACCAAGGGAAATATGACATCTCTCAAGTCAGAGGAGATGTATTAGATTTTTTTATTTAAATGTGAAACATAAACTTTACTGGAAGGGAGTAGGATCTTAGGACAATGATCTTTCATTGACCAAATTATAGGTAGGCTGCATGAAAAGTTCTTTTATGCTTAACATCATATTCTTTTAGTGAAATTTGTTTAATGTTTACAACAACTATGGAGAATTACAATATAGTGATGCATTTTGGCAATGAGAGTTTACACAATGATTCTTTGGAAACAACACCATCTCCCCCAATAAATCAGCCTCCGCCAACACTACAAGACATTCTGAACCAGTACTGGGAGTATCGCTTTGCCCAGGCTTTCGGGGTTTATGTATTCCCCATTGTCATTTTTCTGGGAACCATAGGTAACATCTTAACTTTTCTAGTTCTATGCAGACATTCCATGAGAACAACTTCCACTTGTATTTATATGCAGGCCATTGCGGTCATGGACTTAGCCGTGCTGTATATCAACGCTTTCAGGAGATGGCTAACCATTCTGAATGAAGGCACAGACATTTCCACAAGGAACCACGCTGCCTGCATTACCATTCATTTTCTTTCCTATTTAACCTACCATTATTCTGTCTGGTTAGTAGTTGCAATGACCGTGGAGAGATTTATTGCCATTCATTTTCCTCTTAAAGCTGCCCAAATGGCCACCATCTCAAGAGCCAGAAAGGTAACAATATTGCTTTTAATCATTTTTGTTGTCATCAACAGTCACATGTTTTGGACGGTGACCATTGATGACCGTGAATTCTGTATCCCTGAGGAGAAATATGAAGACTTCCATGATAAAGTGATGCCTTGGTTGGATGCTGCCATTTATTCCTTTGCTCCGTTTGTTGTGTTGCTGACATTTAACATTTTAATCATTTATGACAATAGGAAGGCTACTTTGAGAAGACGCTCCATGCGGAGTCAGAATCAAAGGAACAACAGATCAGATTCCAGACAACAGTTTCACCAAAGACTCACTGCCATGTTGCTTTCCGTCTCCTTTGCATTTTTAGTGTGTACCAGTCCTAAAGTTATCTTCATGTCCATCAGAGAGAGTGCTTTTAAGTTCATTGTGGATGGAAAAGTGAATTACCATGGTTACGCCTCCTACTTAATGGCTTCTCGTATATCTGACTTTTTTGTGTATTTAAATCATTCCATTAACTTTTTCCTGTACAGCATTCATGGACAGAGATTTAGACGAGAGCTGAAGAAGGTGTTGTGCTGTGCTCAGGGTGGATTAAGGCGGCTCAGCACAATCTCTCAGAGCCTGGATGTCAATAGTCGTGTTACCACTGACACATTCTCACTCAGTAGCTATCGTACGAGGAACGGTCCTGGTATTGTTAATCACAATCCAGCTTATAACATCACAGACAATGAGGAGTGAATTCTTTTGAAACCTTGCATTGGGAAATATACTTCTGCTTGCTTTCTATGGTGTTTTTATACAATAATTTTTACTGGACACATCACTTCTTTTACAGCTTAATAAATATACATCATGTATTTTAAATCTTTGGATCTTTCATATTCTATTGAAAATGTAAGGATGATGGTTTTTCAATTTATTTAACTTTAAAGTCCTTTTGCCCTATTTTAAATAAAATCTACAATATTAATGTTAAATAATCCCTTTCATTAAAGCCAAACATGATTGATAAAAGGAACTGTCTGCCATCTTCTTTTATCAATGCATTGTATTTGAGGGCCCCTATACAAGCCATTCACTGATTCACTATTTGTCACCTATGTAGACACTATAGAGATGTATGTTTCTATTGAAATACACTTAGAAGAAACAAAAGTAACTGTTTCAGGAGAGAAAGTATTACAGTTTCACAAGTTAGTCCAGTATACACACAAACACGAATACAAATAGACCGCAATGTAAACAAAGGTAATACAATGTACAGTAAAACATGCTTGAAACAAAGTGCCAGGGACAGATGTTTTAAGTTCATTATAAATGTTAAAGGTTAAATCCCACAGGAATGAAAATCACTTCCCTATTAGCATCAGTTCATTAGGTAACAGGTAAAACCTTCTGTCGTCAGGTAACAGGAGGATAGGTAACATGTAAATCCCCCTTGCCATCAGGCACCAGGAGAAAAATAACTAGTAAAACCTTCTGTCACCCCAGGAGAAAAAGTAACCAGTAAAACCTTCTGTCACCAGAAGGATATGTTACATCTTAAACCTTCTACCAACAAAAGGACAGGTAATTAGTAAATTTGCCACCAGGTAGCAGAAGGATAGTTAGCCAGTTAAATCGTCTGCCACCAGGCACCTGTTAGGATAGCTAACATATGATTCCTTCTGCCACCAAGCATAGAGAGGATTGGTTGACTTGCCATGTAAAACTTGCCACCAGTCATGATGCAGGCAGAGCCACAGAAAATTAAATAGACCTATCTTCAAGTTTGAATACCTTTTGGAAATTTACTTGCTTGTCAATACAACAGTAATCAATTTGTACATGCACAACTTGATTGTCAGTAATACCTTGAATAAGTTTCAAGTTCAGACAAATACAGTCAAAAGGAAAATATAACGCTCACATGAAGAAAAACTTAGACTAAGGTTCTTTTCTGATAGTTTCTTAAGAAAGCTAATGTATATACTGTAAACAAGGAAATTGCAAGATTAAAAGGGCGAAAATTAAGCGAGGCAAAAATAACCCTGTACACAGTAATACTGTAAACCAACTTTTATTTGTGTACCAGAAATATTCCCGAGTTCTGCGACCTACTTTTAATCGCGAATATTAATCACCGCAAACCAATAATTTTGATAAGTATTTGTAGAGAATGTTTCATCGGTCATGAAAATTAATTGTCGCGGATTGATTTCAACCAACGAATCATGAATAAAAGATGACACAGATAATAGCTGGTTTACAGAAATTTGAATTTTTTTGTCTAGTTTTGCTTTCAATTTGTAATAAATCTAATTACTAGTTACTTGTGAACACAATACACAAAACATGTGCTTCTTCATAGATTTATATCATTTGCCATACCCAGCATTAACTAGGCAATGTAATAATTTATTTCAACACTTATCTTTTTTCAACTCAACCAGATTTTTATTTAATATGTGTTGAATAGGAAAACAAGATTTAAATATTTCTTTGAAGCACATAATATCCTAACACTACTGTCAGAGAGTTCAACTACTAAGGACAAGTTCCTTAGAAGATTACACATTAAACTTACCTTTACTGGTGACTGTTCAGATTTTCCAAACTCATACAGGATTTTCAGAAATTGTTCGTATGTGGTAAAGTCGTGTTTCAGATCCTCTGCTGCCTTGATTAAGTAGGCTTGGGCAAATGCCGTGTCTCGGTCATCTTTCTGTAAACGAAAAATTATATACAAAAATCATATACCGCTTCATGGTTTAAAAAGCTTCAACTGCCCTAACCCAGGTTATACAGTATAACTTGGGTTGCTATTTAATTCATTCCTTAATATTTACATTTGCAAACATCTTTCTTAGATGAACCTATTGAAGAGAAAATATGTTCAATTCTGTGTGGACTTTATTTAAGGGGGGGGGGAGGGGGGATATTTTGTTTACATATATTTCTGTCTGTTTTAGGAACTACCAAGTTAAAAAAGACGATAAAAGTAAAATAACTGAAACATATATATACATGTATTTTCATTCAACAGATGCTCAATAGATCTTCCTTTGGTGTGAAGAATGTTTTAAATACATGTACTATAATTAGCCTAAAATCGGACTTAAATTTTAACCCGAAATTCCTTTGAAGCTATGTTAACTAAAACAAAGAATATCACCGCTTTTGAAATCAAATATATTTAAAATTCATAAAATAGTAAGATTATTTTCAGTAGGGATCATTGTTCTTACATTATAAACAAAGAATTCCTGAAGTGGACTGCGAACATCATTGTTAATATTCAAATGTTGGAGCAAGACGAATTTTCCACACAACTTCTAGGCCCCCTAGGTCATTGCTCATCACAACATAGCAATACAGCGGCCCGTTCGTGTAATAAAAAATGCAGTTTTACTCGGAATTTGTTTGTCTCAAAAATATAAGTAATAAACAGCAATGTTAAAAAGTTCACTGGGAAATGAACTTTTAGCTGGTAAGTGATCAAATCTACTGATTTGATCAAGTGACCAACTAAAAGTTTATTTCCAAGAGAACTTTTTAACATTGTTGTGTATTCCTTAAATAAATCCTTAATTTTATCTCTTACCTACGTTGACTTTTAACTAAAATTCATTGACAATAGTAAATGTAAGAGTATATAATAATTATTACCAGTGGGTCTGTTTCTACAATGTCTGGGGCCAGCATAGCTAAGGCAGAATCTTTTCTTCTCTTTGTTTTGCTGGACAGATCTTTAGGGTCTTTTGAAAGAATGCTCTTTGGATTAAATCTGGTTAGAAAATATAAGCAATTATTATGCATCTCGAAAAAGTTTGGAAAATAATCAAAGCTTTTAACACTGATTTTTCAATAAAAGTAAATAAATATTACTTATTCTTCCCAAAACACACCTTACACGTAAATGTGAAATACAATTTGCATCTGTCATGAAGAAAAAATTGAGTGTTTCTTAAAACTGTAAGAAATAAATCCTTAATGAACAAGACTGGAGAGTACTAACTTGATGGTGGTGCTGGCGGCCATGAGATCGGCGAGGTGTTCCGTCTCCTCATCATTGTCGTCCTGACTGTCGTAAAGATTAGATTCGTCCACCTCCGTATCATCGCTCTCCACCGAGTTACGCAGCTCACGGTTCTTGTGGAACTTCTTCTGAAGATTCTTACGCGCGGAACGCTTCTTATCACCGACATCCTCCATCACTTCATCAGACAAATATTCTGATTCCACTGTTAAAATAAAATAGAGTGTTGAAAATTTTATTTCTCATATTTCTGCTATATTTTTACCACTCCCACAAAGATTTTTTTTAGTTTATCTAATAAGTAACAAACCCCTAGCAAGCACTTGCTTGTTTGTCATGATCTGCATTTTATTCATTGCTATGATCCACAAAAATGACAATTAAACAAAATTTAGGTACTCAAAGAAAAAACAGTAACTATCTTAGTTTCTCATTAAATTTAAGAAACTTATATTTACATACAATTATCCCTTATCTGAAGAATTTAGAAATATATCTTATACATATATTTAATTATTAACAACATGCATCCTTCTAACAGTTACCTGTGTCACATTCACTCGCCGTCTCCATTCCTTCCTCCTCTGTTTCGGTCTCATCTTTCAGCAACTCGGCTGGTACTTGATGTGATGTTAGCCCCTTGGTCTGAATGTGAAGTTCAGTTCTAGGCAGGCCCGGTGGACGCGGTAGTATTTTACAATGTGTTTTACCCAGAACTCTGTTCATGATCTGTGAGGCTGCCTTCTTGGATGGTGATACTACTGTTTTGATCACAAGTCCTTTGGGGCATATTGCCCTGGCCTTTTTCTGTAGCTGCTGCCTTCTAGGGCTTTTTCTGGGACTTTTTCTAGGACTTAAAAATGGATTTACAACTGCGGATGATGACGTGTAAGGCTTGGGAGCTAGAGGTCGATACCTGCTTTTAACTGGTGTCGTCTCCTGTGCTTTCTGGACAAAACTTGCTGGGCCTTTCTTGGGAGAAAGCATTAAAGAAGAATATGCAGCCACAATCTCCAGGGCTGATTTCATAGGGCTTGCTGACACTAAAGGTTTAGACTGAGAAGATGATAAACTACTCAGGGATCCAATTAAATGGGCTCTACCTGTTGTTTTACTTTTGTCAGATTCCTGCTCTTCTGTTCTATTTGAAGATGGAATTTTGGTTACATGTAATTTATTTTCAATCGGAATACCAAGAAGTTTTGTTGAGTTGTAATTCTCTGAATGACGTTCAGTTACATACTGATGTGTAGATGTGATTGTTGTTACCAAGGTCTGCTGTACATTTGTAGACTGATTTACACTAACTGAAGTATCCACTGAAGATGTCACATAAGCCTGTGTTTCTCTTGAATTCTCAGCAGGATTCGGTGATTCACTATAACTGTCGTCAGCTACCAGTGTGGTATTAAGACTACTGTCTGAAACATCAACCTGGACAACACTAGAATCTGTCAAATTACTGTCACCAAAAAACACATTCCCTGCAGTACTCTGTCTCTTTTCTGCATCATGCTCACAAACACTTGCGTTCTGATTTTTGTTCCCTTCCGTTGGCTGACTGTTTTTTCCCTCTATAGGACTGGGAACATTTTCAACCATTCTAATCAGTATAGGACTACCGGGATTTCCCAGGATTTCTGTTTGGCCTGACTCCTGGTGTAGAGGTATAAACCCAGGGGAAAATGGCTTCAGTCTGAAAATGTTAAATGACCTTTAAGATTTGAACATTTTCCTACTGCAAAAACTTTACCGTTTTTACAAATTCAAATGGCTTCATGTGTATTTACTGAAACGTTTCAAAGACTTAAGTACCATAATCATAGAATTTTTTTAGTCAAATATAAAGAATTTTACCTGCTTGGAGACTCAGATCTAGCATTAGAACCTTTCATATGCTTCCTTATAACTTCCTTGGATAAACCAGTTTCATTTGAATCACTTTCCTTATTTTTCATTTTAACAGTTGGTTCAATATTATCAGGAGAAATACACCTCTCTGACTGTACAGACATTCCATTGCTGTTGTGTAATTCCTCTTGAATATCCTCAATGGGTAAGAAAGCTGTACCCATATCATTGTTAGGACCAGGACCATCAGTTAATGTCATGGTAGTGTTTTGAAGACGATTTAACAATAATGCACTATCTGGAGGTGTAGGTGTCCTTGACTTTTTGTCGAGAGCCTCTGATTCCTGACAATTCAGATCAATCAAACTTGGCATGCTTTGATAAGAACTTGTTATTGTCTTGTTTGATAATGCAGGCACAGTGACTGTTTGGCTTGATGAAGTCTGGATTGATAAGGTTGGAGTCGATAATGATTGACTAAATAAAATGGAAACTGATGACACACCAGTACACAAGGTTTTTACACCACTTGTTGATGACACTGGAGGAATCATACTTGAGCTTGTGTTCAAAGGTAACACTTTTTGACTACTCTCAGATGATAAACTGCTAGAAGTGGTCAAGTCTGTATAATTTCTTTGACTGGGTAACAGAATACTAGTGTATTTCTGACTAACTGGCACTTGACTACAGGATAATGGTATTGCAAGAGGTTTGGTTGAAAAGGGAATTTCTGCATCTGAAGCAGAAGAGACTGCAATATTAGTGAGAACAATGGCATTAAGGGGGAGTGGACTCTGTGAAGACTGTGTTTCTGCAGGAGTTACTGGCCTTTGAGACACACTGGACTTCTGGGGGGTGAGGTTTGGAACGATAATGACAGTACAGGGCTGGTCCTGTGTTTTGGTCATAGGTGTCACAGGAGCTGAACAACTCTTTGAATCCTCAACCTATAAATTTGAAATGAAAAGTCTGTTTATTTCAATCAATAATCTTTTTTCTTCAAGTATCTAGTCTAAAAACAAAAATAAGAAAATAAAAGGTTTTCTGCAGAGGTAACCCCACAAAATATGAAGACATGACACAAGATTTTTACTGAATAGTCTTAACCTATTTTTTAAAATGAAAAGTTAACACATTTCTTCGCAGAAATTTACTACAATGAAAACATAATCCAACCTTTCTCCTCTCTGATGACATCAGAGGAATGTTTACACTCGATGACCTCTGCATACTTCCATTATTCTCTTCAGCATCCTCAGTGCCGGCCATGATTTCACGGATTTTAAGCTCTTTGCACCAAGTAGGCAGTTTTCCAGTATCTTGGTCTTTAGGAGATTTCATTTCATGAGGTGAAAAAACTCCAGTGAAAGTCTGAAAATCTGGCAATTTCTTGGTCAGCTTGTAGGTCTATGAAAATATTTTAAAAATATATTTAGTCAATAAGCTCTGATTTTCTATTTGAAATAAAAACAAATAGATTTTTTCTAAGCTTAACTATATCAACATGAAAAGCTAGAAAAGATTAGGCTACCTAAAATTGAAATTCTTTTTCTCAGGCCCGCGCATCTGTTTTTAGGTAGCCGCATTGCTAATTTTTTGTATTTTTGATAAAATAAAAAGTTGGTATCGCAGAGACCAATCCGGAAAAAAAAAGTTCCCTCCTCATTTTTTCGTAGTATAGTAATCAAATATCACTTCCAGTAGCCATTTTCAAAGAGATTTTGGCTACTTCCTTTGAAAATACATTCAAAGACATTGCCTACAATGTTCACATGCTGATAAGCAATGGATAAAGCAAACCTTTTGATCAGACATGGAAGGTACATCTGTGATTAAAAAAAATTATCTTTATTTTAAAGAAAATTCGAAAATTAAAATTAAAAAAATACCTCCCTCATTTACTTTATTGCCAATAAAATGATAAATAAAATGCCTCCCTCCCGCATCTGTTTTGGAGAAAATTGGCCTGAGAACCAGAGAATTAAATTTAGATAGCCTTAAGAGACTCTTATTGTGATACATGTACCTCGTACCTTAATAATGTTTGGAGAGGCCTTAGAACTGGTCAGATTCTTGATGCGAACTCTTATCTGCTCCTCTGTTTTGCAAGGAAGAAGAAACTTTCTGATCAACTGGTGAAAGTATGGCAGATTTTTAAACTGGTCCAATCCGAGAGCCATCAATCTAAAAGTGGAAAATACTGTAAATCACTTTTTATTTGCGAGAACTTTATTTTCACGAAATTACGCGAGACAATGTGCTCGCGAAAATTTAATTCTCGCGTATAATAGCATTCCTTAAGATTATACAGAGCAATAACCACAATTTGTGAAAATTTTGTCTCTCTTATCAAGAGTCAATGACTATCTCACGAAAATAAGGTGTCGCGAAAATAAGGTGATCTACAGTACTGATTTTTAGTGTCTTTTTATAAACTTTTAAATTTCTCTAAAATATATATAATGTATAGGGGGAAAATAACTCGCGGTGTTAATATTCGCTATATTCACGGTGTTAATAAATCCGTGAATTCAAAAAACAGTGAATATTAAAATTTTCAATAATCTACATGTTTTATTCGGAAATTTGAGAATATATAGACAACTGTAGGTTTATATACATGTAGGTGCAGTTCATGGCCATTTCAGTAATTATGAGTAGTACTTGTCATTCATTTATTTTAATTATCACGCTTTACTTAAATTCCAATCAGCAGATAATAACCTGTACTTGTTTAAGAGCTGTTTAAATAGCCCACGCTACGTTTCATCAATCAAAACACATGGGCCATGGGTTTTGATTACCCGTTCGAAACTAATGTTACCACGTGTATTTGTTAGGCCTCACCTGCATTATCATGCATATTAATTTTTATCGACAATTTGGTTCTTAAAATCATTTAAACGACTATTGAACTTACGGAAAATGTCGAAAGATATTATTTTGATCGTCTGACTACATTAATACATTTATCGTTGTCCAGTGGTTTTTCGCCGCGTTGTATTGAAGATCTTAGGGTGTAGCATAATATAGGAAAGTCATTTGCGTTTACAGTCAAGGACGTTTTAAAACTGTACTAGTTTTAATTAATTGTCAATTGCATGTATTTTTTATATCTTAAAATTTTATATTAACCTACTCTGTTGTTCGTGAAATAAAGACATTATGCTGATAAATGTCGTTTAAATGGTAAGGATTAAATGTATATAGACAAGGGAGGTAACTTTTATTATAAACTGATTCCGCGAATTCAAGAAACCGCGATCGTGTCAGATGAGAGAAAAACGTGAAAATTACAACCCGTGAAATTAATCCCCTATACAGTACATGTATTTTAAACATAAACTTTGTCCCTTTGGTCTTGTACAAGTAGTGCTAATTTATGAAAAATTAATTAAATTTACATTTACAAAAGACGGAGAAGGGGGATTTGACCATACAGTGTATGTGTACATTTTTATAAATTACAGAAAATATTTACCATTTTCTGTTTACACAGTTACATGAAATTCCAAATAGGTATATAGTGTCTTTCAACAACCAGTATTAATTGGTAGTCATTACATGTACCACAAAACCACTTAAGAAGTGCTATATGATGATTTTATTCCTAATCATGCAAATTAATGGCAACTGCTTATCGAATCAGTGGTTAACAGTAGCTTTTATTTTGTGCTGAGTGATAGAACTTTCAGTAATACTTACTTGTCCTCTGATTCAGTGAAGGCCACCCTCCTTTTTGTTTCCTGGAGATCACCCCTAAACAGGAAGCTGCCACTGGGCACCAGTTCTGGGTACATGAAGACTGGACTAGCCCAGATCAGCTGCTTCTGTTGGCTGGTGAAGTGAGGGATGGTCAGCCTATTGGACTGCAGTCTCTCCCCTACTGCCTTAGCTGTAATGAATAATCATACACAAATACATGTACATGTATATCAGAACTATAATTCATACACGTACATTGATCACCAAAACAGTTGATGAAAAGGCACAGATTGGAATTCTTACATGGTGTATCTCCCACTATATTCAGGATAAGATCCTTTTTCCTCTTTGACAAATCATGGTAATTTTGTACAAGCATTGAGGCAATGGATTTCTCTGAGGAAATATACTGAGCACCTCTGTTATCTGTAAAATTGATTTCAAGCATTTTTTAATCATGTGTAAAAATACAAATTTGGTTATACTTATTCTTATGATTATTTCTTGCTTGGAAGTAATAATTCTATTGTGTATTAACTTTTTTCAGTCACAAAAATTAATTCTTAACAGATGGATTTCAAAGTAAGGAATTATGAACAAAACTTGTCATCAATAATAGTTGGTTTACATTAAAGGCCTGAAGAATTTCCTACCCACTTCAGTAAATTTTTTAGATTGTAATGCTAAATATAAATTTCATTATGAGAACGTTTGATTGTGAAGATAAAAAGATATATTTACGGGGTTTGTTTTTTTCTATCTGTTCCCATTCCTCTGTTTTATTGACCAAATTGACAGCTTCCTTTAGATTTGTAGCACTGTACATGGAATTAGGTGTCAGGTACTTAGTATTGGTGACACTGAACTGATTCAATTCCATCTGTAATAAATCAGAAATATGTGCTTTAATACATGTACATAACTAAACTACATGTACCATATGTATTTTTAAAATATTTTTTTAATTTTAAAGCTGTGAATTTTAAAGTGTAGTGTCATAAAAAATACTTAATATTCTCACCAGAAGATTTTTACTGTAGTCTGCGACCTCTTTGTACTCGGCCTGGTTTCCCATGGCAGAAACATACATCTGAGTTAACAGCTGTACATGCTGCAGAAAACAGAAAGGTCATAAGTATCAACATAAAGCAAAACATAACAAAGGAAATCGGCAAGTACTGAAGGATTTCTTAACCCGTGTAATGTATATACATGTAATACAGACATGTCTTTAAATTTGATATTTTTTAAATTTTCACTTGTGTTTATGAATTGTGTTACCTTTCTCATTTGGTCAGCGATCTGTTCTCTCTCGTGGTCAGACATGACGTAACACTGATTCTCCGTACCCTGAGGCTGACTGTCCGTCTCCGTTACCTGCCTCTTGTAATGAGCTCTAATCAAATACAGAAATAAGTATTACAGTACTGGGTAAATCACATTTTACTTGAATGATCAGGAGTTGCCCATATATTTAAATAAATTTTACTAAGCACACACTCTGAATACTTATTGAAGGGAGGAAATCTGAAATTTACAGGGTCCAACAAAACATGTTGCCCTTGAACTCAGTCAATAAATGTATAGTGCTAGTGGTATTTTCAATACGAAAGACTTGACATCATGAAATTTCTTATCACTTAATCATAGTTTACTTGATATTATTGAATTTTTTCCTTACTTTGCTCTGACTTTCATAGCTTTCTTTTCATCCTCTTCCAATGGCTGTGTCTCCTGATAGTACTCAAAGAGTTCATCCATCAACGTATTCATCTCCTTCTCTGTAAACAAAAGACCATAAATCAGGAGGGATATAGGCTAACATCTCTTTGATTCTTTTAAGGTAGTACGATCCTCAGGTTTATAAAATTAGCAGTTAAGTAATCAAAAATAGCCATAAAACTATTTCTGAATCCACAAAGTTATGTAAATTTATCCACAGTATTTCTTTAAATTAAAGATTAAAGTTAATCATATTATAAAGGGAAAATTGTAAAATCTTCAATATATAAAAGACCATAACTCAGGAGGGAGATAGGATAGCATCTCTTTGATCCTTTTAACAGACTAATGCTTGGTCCCAAACATAATTTTCTTTATTTATTCTATTCGGTTAGAAAATTTCAACAGTGATTTAAAAAATATTACACTGTAATCGATACTGGGAATAAATATGCTTAGCAGCATCAAGGAAGGTTATTGAATTATGCCATAGAGTAATTAGCTGCACAAGATGAACAACATTATAATTACTGACTTGATATTTTGACGGCTCTGTCGTTGCGGAGTTCCTCGTCGCTGTCGATTAGATCGTCAATTTCAGCCAGGTAGTTATACTCTGGATCCTCCTCATCTAGACCGTCATTAGTGTTCTCTGATTCTATTTAATAGACAAATTGACATGCATAATTATAAATACAAACTAATTAAAATCAACTATTAAAGAAAGAATTTAGATTTTATTTCACATTTTCAAAATATGCTAAGCTTGGCACACACTAACATGACTGCATTTTGTTTGTGGCATTACAAATCAATGGATAAAAATAAAGTATAAAGCTATAGGGTCAGGTTACTTACGACAAATAAAATACAGTTAAACCTTAATATTTTAGATTTAGTACATCTGGACAAATCTTTGAGATTCCCAATGGTTCACAGTATCAAGTTAAGAATCAACTTCATCTGATGTAAAATCACTGACATTTCCATGATACTCAACTTAAAAGTAATTTAATTTTAAAATCTAAGTACAGCTGGGATTATTGTCATTATTAATAATGAATTGTAGCAGAAATGATGATAAAATATAACAGAAAATAAATATAAAGAACATCTCAAACTGTTTTACTTGGGGATTAAACTTTTTACCTAACTGAAGAGGAATTGTCATTTTCATTAATAAAACTTCCTACTTCTTTGGTAAAAAAGCTTAAATAACCACATACTCCTGAGACAGAAAAATAGAGAGAGAGAGATTATGCTCTGACCTGGAGGTTTGTAGAGGGACTGGAGAAATCCCTGCCAATCCTCATCCTCACACTCATTGTCGTACATGTCAGGGGTGAAATCAGGGGGGACAAACGTGGATTCCAGCTCAATAATGGACGTGTCCTCCAGAGACAGCTTAGACCTTGTTCTGGCTGCTATTGTCTGCTCCTCCTGTTTTAAGGAGAAAATGTTCAACAGATTAAAATTTAATAGTTCAGCAAAGTCAGCTTTCAAAGACATTCTTAATACATGTATCTTTCTTAATTATTAAAATGTACCAAGCATGAGAAATATAACAAAAATAAATACTCATGTAATACTGCATACAATGAAATTTCATTACGTCAAAGTATGCTTTGCTCTTAATTAATTATATCAGTTAATCATGTGCATGACACAAAAGCAGTGATCATTCAGTACAAATAATAACCTTTTCCTGCAAAAGATCATTAATTAATTAATAATGAAGATAAAGAGGATAAGTTTATCTTTCATGGAATATTCATTTAATATCTGCTTAAACAGAGAACAGAGAATTGTACCTTAGTTTTCTCACTCATATCCTCTACTTCCTGAAATTTCTTATTGAGTGACTGTCTGTATAAAGGAATTTTGCTCGGTGGACCCATGGGGCTAAGAAATGGCTACAAAGAATTAAACAGAAGAGCATTGGAATATACATGTAATGTAAGAAGTGTGACTTAACCTTTTGTTAATCATATCACAATTTACAACATTCAAAGTCAACATGATTCCTAACTGAATAATTCCAAAACACAGATTATAAGTTTGTTTGTTCCTTTTTCTCTCTATCACCTAATGATATGATTGACTTACCCCTTTATATTCTTTTTCAGTAGAAGTGGCAGTCCTTGAGTCAAAAGTGGGTCCAAGTGAGGAGACTGGAGTCCTGGGGGTGGCTGGGGTTGAAGGACAGGGGGACCCAAAGTCGCTCAAGTGTGAAGACGTCACACTCTCACTGTCCTCATCACTGAAACTTCCCTGAAATAAATCAACCCCTAATATCTCACTGCCCTTATTACTTAAACAGCCTTGCAAAAATCAACCCCTGAAGTTTTAATGTCCTCATCATAAAAACTTCTCTGCAGTATGCCAACAACCTCTTAAAAAATAAAATTAAAGACCTATTGTCCAAAACAAAGAGTTTCTGTCATCTTTGTTCAGATATCCAACTCAAATGATGATATATGTGAGGAACGGTATTTTTGCAATGTTTGAAATAGTTTTATATTGTCTTAGAGAAAATTTAAATCTTTCTTTTACTGTAAATGTACATGTACTTTTTTTGAGGGGTCAAAATTCTGCAGAATTTTAATTTCTGTTCAATGCACATGTAGAAAATAATGTGGATTTCCAGTCTTCACGAATACTTTTCAAACTAACTGGCCAGTCGGACCAGTGAACTTTTAAAATGTACTGGCCCACCAAAATTTTTACTGGCCCCTTAATTAAAAAATAAAATAAATACATTTTTATAACTGTAAATTAATACATGTTTACTTCAACTTTTGAAATGCCACCATTTTTCGTCCTTTGTCACGGTAAGTTGTTTGTTGTTCATTGGAAATTCGCACATTTTACGTACTAGTTAATAGTTACTAGCTAGTTCCGGTAACCGGGTTGTTACGTAATACATCCATGTTATAATAGGGTTATGATAATACGATTCAACAACATGTGTTTGTTCTTTTTATTTTATATATAATGAAATTTACGCAAGTAAGTCAGTTAAAAGATATATTGACTGTGTATGATTTTAAAAATTAACAAGCCCATCGGACTTCTTGAATTTTGATTTTCACTGACCCGACATAAAAATTCACTGGCCTCGGTCTTTGGACCAGTGAGTTTTCGTGAAGACTGGATTTCTGACATTGCCACTCCTTGAATCTACTTTAAGTTTCTTGGGACCAATTTTTCGCTGAAAAATTTTCAATCTCATAAATATATTTTTTCTTTGAAGTTAGATACAGAGGAATATATCCATTAGAGCTTTGGTTAATAACCACCCTCCCCCTACTGACCTCCTTTTCTTTGTCAGGGCTGTAATCATCATCTTCCTCCTCCTCACTCAGTTCTATGTCTAAAATCGTCTTCACTTCCTCTGCCTTCTTCTTCAGGGGCGTTAATGGCCAGGGGTGAATTACCTTTTGATAGGAAATCAATGTAAGTACAAGCTTTAGGTAGAGTTATAATATAATGACATATGTCATGTTCTATAAAATCTAAGATTTGATTTATATTTTTTCCATTTACTTATGTTACAATCAAATGAATAATTAACTCCAATGCAATATTTAACACATTGTAAAATTGTTGGTTTACCTATGTGTGAAGTTGAAATATGATACATGTAATACCAACCATGATGCACTTATCAAAAAGACTCAACAGATGAGCAGAATTGTTTATGACTTTAGACAGACTTAAATCAGGAAAGAATATAAGACATAGTAATGTGACACATTTAACTATGAGGAGAAAATATCAGATATCAATTTAACCAACAATTCTGAATGAAGTGAATATTTGATGAAAATCATGAATCGCTGATTTTTATTTCCTTACATCTCCCTTCTCCTCTATGGCCTTTTTGACAGTTGCCCTCGTCATTTTGGGTTCATAGGTGGCCTCTTTAAGTTCTTCCTTGGAAGCCACCTCATTCAAGATAGTATTCTTCACCATGGCCACAACATGTTCATTTGTAATAACTTGCTGCAAATACAGAATTTATACTCCCTACTAAGCAAGACATTCTCTTGCTAAAATTTAAGGATACTAAATTGCATAAATATTGAATTGATTAATTTTTTTTTAATATTCAAGCCTTCTTGTTGTAATAAAGAATGCTATGTTTTTGTTTTTTTTTTTACATCTATTATCTCTATGTTATTGATAATGTTTTAAAATTGAGTGGTCACTTAAATTTTAGACATAGACACTACTGTACAGCTAGACAGACATAGACAGGGCAAATTTTATTACCCGATAGCTTTGCTAATAAGAAATTAGTAAATTAATCAATTGTTTGTATCTTCTTTAACAAAATGAGTAAATGTACAATGCCTCACATGAAGTATTGCTTTAACGTTATAGGCTGTAAGCTTGTTCCTGCTGGCGTTCTCCTCCAGTGCTTTGTCTAGGTCCTTGTCTGATTCCTCCTCCATAATCTGCCAGCCCTCGCTGTCAGAATCATCAGAACACTCATTGTCTGCCTCCTCCTCTCTCTCATCAGCATCATCTGTTTTAGAATCCTTCTTACCAAGTGTTAACTTTTTACGCTTACAGCTCCTTATCACATTGGGTTTTCTGCAAAATTCATTATGTGTATGTCAGGATTTTTTTTCTTTCTCAGAAACATAAAAAATATTTCAAATTAGTAGGCAATACAAGTCTTAATCATCAAAAGTTAAATTGCATAACCTGCTGCAATTATTTTAAAGTGGTTATACAGTGTATACACTATACAGTTTTCTAATTGTGATCTTGAACTTGCCAAAAGACCTAAATTAAAATAAATACAGATCTTTTTTGGTCATACATAAGCTTTCAGTGAAATAGGGACATCCAATGATTCTCCATTAAAAAATTATGGACCTGATATTAAATTTTTTGATAGTTACTTTGAATTTACAACAATGATTCTGGGTCAGTATTTTGGCATATCGTCAGCTCACAAATTATCTTTGCTTGAAGGTTCAACTTCCAATACCTATTGAAAAGCCATAAACTAGGCACAAATTTTAACAATTTTCTATCAATGATCTTGAATTTGAAGGAATAACCTTGTGTTAAGGGCATGACGCATATTAAAGACATGTTATTGTACAAAGTTTGAACTTCTATACATCTTATTTATTAGAGAGTAAAACACCAGACACACGTTTTTTTTTTCTTCTACTTTTCTGCCTTTGAGCTTGATCTTGCTAGAATGACCTAAAATGGATCAGATAATTCCTCAGGTCATAAGAAACCTTTGTTCAAAGTTCTAGATTTTATTTTTCCACAGTTATAAAGTTATAATCTGGGCATGATTGCAAGTACAGCTGTTAGACAGACAGATGGACAAGGTAATTCTGTAATGTATACCTCTCAAGCTTCTTTTGCAGGGGTTATAAAAAGCTATGATGCTGTCACTTTGATTACCGGTATTCAAGTCCTAAATACAGAAGGCTTCATTCTGTCAACATGTTTAAGCATAGAAAATTTTAGCTGCAGATCTGTAGCTCTTTGAAAAAAAATTATTGGTAGACCAGAGAGCTACAGAGCCACCCATTGAAAAAACTGTCCATTTATTGCGCACAAAAAAAGGCCCTCGGTTCTCTATTTATCTCTCCTTGTTTTTAATGCTGTAATCTCAAAATATTACTAACCGTGTGTTCCTAACATATTCTTTGACTCTTTCAACAACAAAACATTCCTCATAATTGTTGTTAATAGTCCTCTTGGCCCTGATATCGCAATCATCGGACATTTTGCTTATTTATACTGCCATTTTGGTTTCAAAGATAATTCGGTCCAATATACTTCGTTCAGATGTCAACTACGAGAGAACTTGATAGAGGAGAGAGTAATTTTTTAAATCTTCCATTTTTTGCAATTGAGGTAAGAATTTGGAAAAATTAATCAAGAATCGAGCGCACTTTTTTGTGTGCAATAAATATACAGTTCTTTCAATGGGTGGCACTGTAGCTCTTCGATCTATCAATATATATTTTTTCGGAGAGCTAAAGATCTGCAGCTAAGAAAATTTTAAATACATTCTGTAAAAAAACCCCTGAATTTTACCCTTTGCTCCGCTTAATCCCTCTAGATGCTGGCACACTTTTCTCTGATGACTTGAATGGAAAAATGTTTTTTATAATGGTGCCAAACTTTCTCTTCTCTTTTGATGGCCCTTGGAGCTTACTTCCATCTGTGTTCCTGTTGCTTTCCAATGGTAGACCTTTTGATAGTTCTTCTTTTTGTAAGTCACCCTGGTTGTCAGTATCTTCTGGATTTTTAATTTCCTCAATGTCCTCCCAGTCCTCTTCTAACTCAAGGACCTCATTATCTTCACTCCCACTTTCTTCACCTTCAGAGGATTCTGACATACGCATCTCCTCTTCTAATTTTTTCATTTCATCACTGCTTTCTTTAGCCATTGTTCCCTGAAATATATATCAATTAAATGACTTTAAGAAATCATAATAAGCTTAAAGATATTTAAAACCTACCAAAAACTGATCATTCATTCATATAGGTAAAATATCTGTCGGTATCTCATTTTGTTGGGTTGATTTAAGGAAATGTAATTAAAAAACATATATTGTGAATTTTTTGTTAGATGTAAACTAAAAGAATTTTCAACAGGTCTAGTACAATCACTAGATTTAGCTATGTACGTTGATTTACCTACTTAGCTTGATTTACCTACCTGAGGTAGCTTTATTTAGCTACCAAATCAATTTATTTCTATAAAAAAGCATTTTTCTCGGGGTGTGCAGAAAATCTCATTTTGATGCAGTGATCATTTTCAACTTTGAACTCATCTGAAAACAATTAATGAAAAAATCACTCTTGAAGAAATGTCTTTTTCTGCGCAATTGCAATCAAACTTCTGAAAGTTTTGGGGCTATGTAGAACAGTTAATAGAACAGTTACTCCTTGAATGAAATGACAAAGAAGTCCAGTTCCAGTTAACATGATAATAGGTCAGTAATTATCCAGCACAATGTGAAGTAATCATACTCAGCCATGCCTCACCACACGCAAGAGAGGACAGTTAACCAAACAATGGAATCACATGTTTTGCACTAAATTGTCCAAACGCAGCTTTGGATTGTTTTTTAAACCTCCCTAGTATAAATAATATGTTTTACGGTGTGACCGTTGGGGCGAGAGCAGTTGTACCATCAAAAGCACTTGAAAAATTGATCAGCCACTTCAAGCATCAAGCCGCGCAAGACATCTCGACCACCTGTAATGTCATACGACATCACGGAGCTCTTCGGAGCTTACGGAGACAGCCGACCTTCTGTTTGAAACTATAGACCTAGTGCAAATTGGGTAAAAAAAAAATTGCAGAGTTATTTTTTGTTCCTTTGAAAGATTTCTACATACTGAAAGCAGTTTATGTTTTATGTTAGTATTTATTTACTTATTTATTTGCGCAAAGGACATTGGGTAGTAAAGGAATTCTGGGAATGTTTCACAGAAAAATCTGCCTGACGTATGTACAGATTTCATTCCGAATTTTCTCTGTTCTTACACGTTAGTCTATTGAGCTCGCATCGCGAGCGCTCGCTATTAATATTCATTTAATTGCGATTTTTTGTCTCTTTTTAATAAAAAGAACAAGAGGCCCAAGGGCCTTGAATCGCTCTTCTGATAAATTGTACAACCTATCACTTGTATTCAAAGCCTCTAACCCTAAGTATCCTAAGACCAAAGTTGCATCACCTGACAAAGTTTGAAGATTCTTAGCCAATTAGGACTACTTCTTGGTCGACATTTTCTGAAAACCCAAGATGCATCAAGTGACAAAGATTGATGATTCTAAGCCAATAAGTACCAGAGATACTTAAATATAGCCATAAAATGTCGAAATTAGGTCACCATGACCTAATTTTTTGTCGTCACTCTCCGAAAACCCAAGATACATCAACTCACAAAGTTTGATGATTCTAAGCCAATAAATACCTGAGATACTTAAATATAGCCATAAAATGTCGAAAGTAGGTCACCGTGACCTACATTTCAGTCAACATTTTTCAGAGTCCCAAGATGCATCTGCTGACTAAGTTTGATAATTCTAAGCCAATAAATACCTGAGATATTCAAAAGTAGGTCATTGTGACCTACTTTTTGGTCGACATTCTCTGAAAACCCAAGATGCATCAACTGACAAAGTATGATGATTCTAAACCAATAAGTACTGGAGATACTTAAATATAGCCATAAAATGTCGAAAGTAGGTCACAGTGACCTAATTTTTGGTCGTCACTCTCCGAAAACCCAAGATGCATCAACTCACAAAGTTTGATGATTCTAAGCCAATAAATACCTAAGATACATAAATATAGCCATAAAAATATTAAAAGTAGGTCACCGTGACCTACTTTTTGGTCGACATTCTCCGAAAACCCAAGATGCATCAACTGACAAAGTATGATGATTCTAAACCAATAAGTACTGGAGATAGGGTGAATTCACCATGCATCGGATACCCTTGTACTTCAACAAGTTCTAGCGATATCGCTACCGACGGAAAATTATCAAAATGGAGTTTAACATTTAGTTTGTGATTAAAATATCAATTTGGGACACAATTATATGCCCTTTATTTAGAAAATATCCTCAAAAATCGAGTTTTTAGGAATAACTCAAAATTCACCATGGATCGGACATTGTTTACCATGCATCGGACAGACGGTATTTTGACTGGATAAATATCATACCTTTATTAAAGTGCTTTAAAATCCTTGATATGGATATATTTTTATCTTTTATCTAAGAATTAACCCTCAGTTTAAATCTAATTGACGATATCGTTGCACAAATGTAGAACGATTCAAAAGACCTCACTCTGCCTTAAAAATGCTTTAAAATGCTTATAATGCGGTAATTCGCGCCTTTTTTCATGGTTTATCATACTCTGGTTTGTAGAAATAAATTGAGTCAAATTCCAGACGTCATACATCGATAACCTGTATTTTGACTGAAAATATAGAGTTTTTATTTTCCTTTTCCGCAAAAAACAGCTATCAGCTGGGTTCTGTATGAAAATGGTAGTGCTTACCTTTGCATCGGAAAGTGTCCGATGCATGGTTAATTTGTGTCCGATGTACGGAGAAATGAACATACTAGTGAAAACCAGCTTTTAAAAGAATTATACGAACATTGAAGTGAAATTTCTTTAAAATTTATGTAAAATTATCAATCTTTGACTGTATTCACCAAAGTCTGCCTCGTTCCGTTGAAGTCGAATTTTAAGAACGATAACTCTAAAAATCGCAAAATCTTAAATTCCTGGTTGTTCCCCTTTGATGATGTAAAATATGACGTAACTTCAAGGCCATTCTCGGGGTATTTTTATCACAACATGATAATAACAATCGGTATCATTAAAAAATTTAAGTCTTCAGCTTCAAGACAGAAACAAATAAATACACGGAACTCTTAAGTTGAAAGAGAGTTTATTGTCTAAAGTTGTCCGATGCAAGGTATGTGTCCGATGCATGGTGAATTCACCCTACTTAAATATAGCCATAAAATGTCGAAAGTAGGTCACAGTGACCTAATTTTTGGTCATCACTCTCCGATAACCCAAGATGCATCAACTCACAAAGTTTGATGATTCTAAGCCAATAAATACCTAAGATACTTAAATATAGCCATAAAATGTCGAAAGTAGGTCACCGTGACCTACATTTTTGTTCGACATTTTTCAGGGTCCCAAGATGCATCTCCTGACCAAGTTTGATGATTTTAGGTCTGAAAGTAATCAAAATATGCCTTTTAAACAATTTGAAAACATATGCCTGCAAAATTCTAAAACTAGGTCACAGTGACCTACTTTTTCTTAAATATGTTTTAAGGTCCCAAGATGCAGCAACTTACAAGATTTCATGATTCTAACCCTTTCAGTGCCTGAAATAATAGGATTAAATGTTTTAAAAAGGATAAAGTCATAAAGTTCAAAAAGTAGGTCACGGTGACCTACTTTTAAGTTGACGTTGTTCAAGGACCCAAGATGCATCAACTGACTAAGTTTGGTGATCATAGGCCTTAAAGTGTCCAAAATATGCCTTCAAATCAATTTGAAAACAAATGCCCGCAAAATTAAAAAAGTAGGTCACCGTGACCTACTTTTGAGTTAACATGATGTGAAGTCCTAAAATGCATCAACTTACAAGATTTGATGATCCTAGTCCTTATAGTAAGCAAAATATAAACATTTTTATTAATTGTAAATTTAGGTCAACTTTAAAGTGACCTTGAGACCACGCCCTTTGCCCCAGGGTCATGCCTTGAACAATTTTTAATCTTCAATATATCCTAATCCTTGTACGTAAATTTGGTGAAAATCTGCCTGGTGGTTCTTGAGAAGAAGATTTTTTAGCAACTAGTACTTTTAATTTTGTTTTCCTGATTATCTCCCCTTGTTTAAGGGTCCCAACCCTTATTTTAATATAAATGGTAGCCCTTGGGCCAAGGATACCCTGTGACAAATTTGGTACTGATTGGCCAAAGGGTTCTTGAGTTATGGCCCATATTCTAAAAAGTTAACGCACACCGCACACCGCACAAATGGCCATAGCATTAGCTCTTTGAGCCTTTGGCTCAGAAGAGCTAAAAATTTTGAAAAGTTGCATTGAAATAGCTAAATAAAGCTACCTGAGGTAGGTTAATAGCGAGCGCAGCAAGCGTCGCGAGCTCAATACACTAACGTGTACGAACAGAGGAAATTCGGGTTGATATCTGCACATTGTTCCAAAAAATTTTAATCTCACTGTGTGAAAAAATTCCAAACTCCCAATAATCCTTTGCGGTGCATAGCAACATGGTGGCTAAAACATAGCAACGATTTACTTGAAAAAAATTACGAACAATGATTTAATGCAATCCCCATACCACAAAACTATCGTTTGCGTCCTATGCCAACAGGACTTTTTATCTGACATCATATTTTCGTCACATTAACAGTTCGAGTATTTTTCGATTTTGTCGGAAACTTCCCGAGAAGTTTGGAATCTCGATCCCGATGCTTGGGAATGGATTTCTTTTAATTGTTTTGTTTTCTTCTTTCTTTTTCTTGAATGATAGGCAGTACATGTGTAGGTTTATGAAATTATGATTGTACAGAACTGCGCTCGCCCCAACGGTCACACCATAAAACATATAAAAGCTACGCAGGTAATTCTACCTACGTAGCTAAATCTAGTGATTGTAGTGAACCTGTTCAACAAGTGAATATGTAAGATCACCAAGTGTGGACGGTAGGTGACAAGATGCAGTTATTTTATAGATGAATCCAGTGCATCAGACACCTTTTAAGGAACCTGCATACCTTTACTCTTTCACATATTCAATAGGTATTCATGTTTATAACCCAATGCCTAAGACAAGGACCTGTGATCACATCCTAAGCCATTCTTACCTTTCAGTCTGCGAGTTCTTTTCACAAATTTGAAATATTTTCTGTCGGTTACATCTTAAGAAACCAAACCAGCATAATTGTCATTTGAATGAAAGGTGTACAAAGTCATATTTCTGATAAAACGGCTAAAGTAGCAATTGTTATTATTCCAACAACCGCCATTTTCACACCGGATAATAATAGAGCGCTATAGTACTTAAAATTAAACCGTGTCAAATCCGTATAAAATGTGTAGAATGGTTATGGGTTTTCAGAAGACTTAAATTTTAATTATTAAATACGTATATACTTAAACTATGTTTTGAATCCTCCAAATTATTTTCATATCATTCAAGCGTAATTATAGTTGGAAATATCGAAACCCCTTTAGCTCGAAATTTTCAGGATTGCATTGTCTAAAATTTTGTCAACCCGCATGTCCTCCACCACAGAATGGCAGACGAAATAAAAACATTAGAAATATGGTCGGGGGACTGGGGCTTACCTTCGATTGATTATAAATGTTTAGCTGTCAAGGTAATACCCCAAAAATGGAATAATTATTTTGTTTTTCTTAATTGGATGTCATCTATTTATGAAAAATATGTATTTTGAAATATAATAAGGTTTTTTACAGGTGTTCAGTGCCTGTGCAGTACAATGACTGCATTTAACTTTGCAGCTAGACAAACCTAAGTAGCTTTATTAGCTACTTGATGATCGTGTTAAGTTATTTTAATTCAAGCTTTCACAAGTTTGCTTATTAACATAATGTGCCAGATGAACGATGTGGCCCACAGGCCTATTTTTAATCATTATTTTACTGATAATTCTCTCCTATTTGGTGAGCATGTAGCTAATTTTTCCCAATTTAAAAGGAATGTGTTGTATCTTTAAAAAAAACAAATAAAACCCAGGTGAGAAAATTAACAATTATCAACCATGACAGTCATACTCTGACATATGGGTTCAATCTCCCTTGGCCAGCTAGCTCTGTTGGTAGAGCACCTGACTGGACTTTCTTGGGGTCTGTATTTGGCTCATGGTCTCATCAGTCCCATTTTTTCCTCTCCTGTTAGAGATTTTGTGCTGTTGACTTCCCTTGGACTTGCAGGTGAAGCCGAGATAGGGGCAATATAAGATCTTGGGTTGTGTCCTTGGGTTAAGACCTTTACCGGTAAATAGCAAGGAGTGTGGCTTTCAATTGGGGTTGATTGCATGTGGCCATTTAGCTCAGTTGGTAATGTTAGATTCCTCTTACTCTAACCCCTGCATTTTAAATTGTGACGTGCAGGAAAGAGTTATAGCGGAGGCCATATTGAAAAGTGAGAATTCAGCGACAACAACTGTTTAAATGCTATTGCCATTGAAACAGACAAATGAAGCATCATACGAGAAGGAGACTTTATTCAAGTGATGCTCCATTTGTCAGCGACAAAGTCATTTAAATGGCGATAACATCCTTTATATGATGATTAAGTTGTAGAGGAATCACCCATTTACTGATTTCTTGTGTATCAGAAGTTAGATCAGCAAAATGAAGTTGTAGAAGGTAAGGCAGAGTTGCGACACCAGCTGGTGTCGCTGAATTCCCACTTTTCAAAATGGCCTCCGATCTGACTCTCAATAATAATAATAAATAAACATATTTATGATAGGTATATAAAGCTATGTAGAAATTAATGTAACAGTAACACATAAGTGTAAATGTAGTGATTATACCAAATCTACCATGGTTGATTTCTGCTCTTCTATTTTTACAGGCATACTGCAAGTTTTCAGGAATACCAGTAAAAGTTATACCAAGAAGTAATCCATTGAGATCATTATCTGGTATAAAACTTAAGATCATTGGCTATCATTTAAGCAAATTGTTTGTTCTGCCTGCCTTTCATGTCATTTGTTGAAATTGCCAGAGCAGGCTTCACCTTGAGACTCCACAAAGCTGAGGGTAGGCAGCATTTACACCAAGTTTCAGCCCCTCCCCAAAAAAGTGCAAGTGTTTTATACCCTTCATTTGAAACAAAATGGTAGATTAAAGAAGGTGTATTGCTGCCTTACCCTTGCTTTAAATGTTTGATATTTTCGTACAGCTTTACCATAGGATTTCACTTGAATAACTTTTTTTTTTGCAGGTAAGTTGCCTGTTTTCAAGGATGGAGACACAGTAAAATCCGATGTTATAAGCATTTACAATTACTTAAAAGAACAGGTATTTAAATATTTTACAATAATAAACATTATGTATACTATTTAAATACTGTAATGGAGGCATATTGAATGTTAATTCAACTTTTATTTCTGCTCGAAATTGTACTAGCTGTGGATATTAACATATCGAGAGAGAAAAATTAATACAAAGGAACAGTTTATGTTAGTGTATTGATTGTGCTAATAACTTGTATATAGAACTGAAATATAAATGAATTTGTTAAACATAAGTTTTAAAAACAATTGAACTTGATTGATTCACTTTTATTGGTAGGGCTGGGCAATAATATCGATATTTCAATATATTGCAATACTATGACAAAAAATATCATATCGCAATACGATTTTGTAATATCGATATATTGGCAATATGCTTAGGTTAAGGAATTTTGTCATTAGATATGAAAATGGACTTATGAAAGTTTGTTTTTAAGCCAAACAGTAAGACTGAAGTTGTTTTGTAGGAACATTTCAGAGCATAACTTAATGAAATCAACAAGTTTATTTTTGTGTGTTGGTTACTTATCATAATAATGTACATTCTGCATGTAAATTAAAGTAAATATAGTAAGAAAATGCCATTAAAATTACTTTAAAAATATTGCAATACATATCGCAATACAGCTAAGAATATCGCAATATATCGCAATACGAAATCTCGGGTCAATACCCAGCCCTATTTATTGGCTTTATGAATTACAATTTGTGCATGTATTTAACAATTTTTTCAGAATTGTGGAAATGATGTATCGTTATCCAGGAGGATTCAAGCAGATAACAAAGCTTTCGTTCATTTCCTGGAAGAAAAATTAAAACCTGCATTTGTAAGTCTTGTTTCTCTTTTTATAGTTACACCTTTCTAGATGTTGCTACCCCTGTCTGTCACTCTGTCTGTTTCACTCATTTTTCTCTGCAGAATTTCTCATACATTTTTTTTTGTTACATGTATGTTCATTTTCTTTCACTTCCTTAGCAAGGAAGTTTCAAATAGTTGATTAAAACAAGAATGTAGGCAAGAGGAATTATTTCACACTGACAAATCTATTCTATGAATGATACCCCTGTATTTGTATATTACATGTAGTTACACAGTTGGTGGGTGGATGCCCAGGCGTACACAGAGACCACTCGACCACTCTATGCCAAAATGTGTGGGTTTCCACTCAGCCTCTATGTACCACATAAAATGATGTCCTCAGCTACAGACTCTGTGTACACACCACTCACAAAGCCAGATCTGACTGAACAGGAGATTGACAAACTGGTACAAGTCATCTCAGGATTTATATTTAATTCTGAACGTTTTATTCCAATTATTTCACTGTGTCATCTTTAATAAAAAGTGGTGTAAAATAATCTGCTAAACAAAGCAGATCCTTTGATATGCTCACAGAGATTGCCACTTAAAGTAGTGACAAAATCAAATATTTTTTATTTTATAGATATATAAAGAAGCTAAAGAATGTATAAATCATCTGTCCTACAAACTGGGAGAACAAGACTTTTTCTTTGGAGATATGTAAATACAATTTTATACACAAAATTAGATTAACATTACTTTTATTTAAAATTCCTAGTACATACAGTTTAAAGGTCATGAACCCTCAGAAAAGATTGATAAGACTCATATACATGTACCGGGGTACATTTACTTGTACAACTATTCCCTCACTTCAAAAAATAAAGAATTTTATCGAAATAAGAACATACAGTCACAGTCTCAATTACATAAGTCACACAATTTCTTTCAGTCCCACATCATTAGATGCCATGGTATTTGGATACATTGCTCCTCTTATAAAGGGACCACTGACTAACAACCAACTAGTCATACATATCAAGAACTGTCCAAACCTCTGTAACCATACTGACAGAATATTATCCAGGTTCTTTCCACAGTCTCAAGAGGGTAAGTTCACAAATACATGAAACGTTGCTTTGTTTCAAGTTTGGTTTGTATAATGACTATTACATGTATCAGGTTTTATAGCTGCAGAACTTTTATTAAGCATTATGATTTTATATTTAAGTCTTTGACCATAATGCTACAGATCCCATAATGCAAATATTGTGCAATTTATGGCACAAGATTTTCTGTGCAGTTCTGGAGAATTTCTTCACTTTTCAGCATTGGTCAATAAACTACCTTTAAGTCACTCCCCAATTCCAGACACATTCCTGAACCAATCTGTATACTTTATCCACCATCTAATCCTTTGTAGTCATCTCTACAGACCAATAAACTATCTTGTTTTGAATTTTTTGTTGGTTGGGAGAATATAAAAAAAAAACGAGTTTATTTGTCTGTAGAGATGATTATAAAGGTTTAGAAGGTGGATAAAATATACAGGTGTCACCGGGTTTACAGGTGCGTGAAAGTCAGTTGAGGCTGACTTTTCACCACCTGATTTGGCATCCAACGCACAAAACCCACTGTTCACTTGGAATATACTTCATGCATTTCCTTAACTTATAGAATTCGAGGAAAAAATTCCTACAAAGAGGGGGAATATGACACCGGGTTCACAGGTGCTTAAAAGTTAGTCAATATATTGCAGAGCTGCCAACCCTTATGATTTTGGCGTAAGTCTTCCGAAATTAGCATCCAAAATACGCCTTACGATTTCTTTTTATATTTTTCCGATTTCTTTTTTTCTCAATCAAAGTTTATAATACCGGAATTTTCATAACTGGCTGTCTACAGATTCTACTATTATAATTAAATATTCATAATCCTTACAACACTTTTTGTATCATCGTTTCGATTTTAGATGGCCGATCGCATTCATGTCAATGTTTTAAAGTGAACAAAATGGAAACATTCCTCAAATTGCTCCAATTTCATGTCCATTTACAAAACATGTTCAGCGGCAGGGGGCCTAAGCAGTTCCCGGACGACACCTTACTATTTTTTATTTCAGAATGTTGGCAGCTCTGATATCAGGACTCAGTAGCTCAGTGGTTAGAGCACTGGCACGGTACGCCAGAGGCCCTGGGTTTGAGTCCCGGTCGAGACGTGACTTTTAAATGTAGTTGACTCACCAAAGCTGGAAAATGGAGGAATTCTCCCCAACTGTGAACAGAAAATCTTGCGCCGTAAATTGCACCTTTTTTGCATTACAGGATCTGTAGCGTTATTGTCAAATACAGTATAAAAACATAAGGCTACAGTTAGACTGAAAATTTTGCCTGGAGACTAAAGATTATATTTTTACCTGTATGTATACATGAATTTTATGCTCCCTTTAAAGGAGGAAGGGCATATTGCTTTATTATCAAAAGAATATCTATGTCAAGTTCTGTTTATGATGGAGCAATTTTTGACAGAGTTATGCCCCTTGCACTTGGAAAAAATCATATAACTTGCAGTTTACATTCATTTTTATTGCATGTCCAGAGGTGGGGGGGGGAGCATAAGTGTTTCAAAAACATCTCGTTATATATTTAGCTCATATTTTGAATCCCCTTCACCCAACAATAATTTCTAATAAGTTCAGCTGAAAGTGTCCCATTCTGGAAAAGGATGAAAATGTGAGAAGTTTATGAAGTCGACATAGACAGACAATAGACAAATTCCGAGCAGAATATCTCACATAACCTATAATCTTAAGTGAGCTAAAATTAAGTTTGATTACCAGATATCATGTAAATTATACATGTAAATAAATTTCAGAAATGGAGAGGATAAAGAAGAAAGAGCAAGAAAAAAGTGAGGCACTAAAGAAAGATGCACTGGACTTTCCAAACAAAACTCGCAATATGATTTTGGCAGGAATATTTGCCTTGTCAGCAATGATGGCCTTTGCGTATTCTTCAGGAGTTGTAAGAATACAAGACAATACAAATGATCCAGATTTTGAGGGGGAGGATGAGGGAGATGACGGGGATGCTTGATCTGTGTGTTTACCACAATAAATAAGATAACCTGTCGTAATAAGTTATAAACTGTATGTTCAAAAGACAGGTTAAAAAATTATTTTACAACCTCTGTGATTTACTATGTTATTGCAAGACTGTTCTTTGTGATAAAATTTTTTGGCATTATATGTATACCAAGTAAATCACAATGCAGTTTGTTATACTAATATTGTATCCATGACTGCTTAAATGTTTAATACAGGTATTTCAATAATTTATAAATGTGCAGTGCTTAGGAATGGTAGTATGTATGGAAATGCATTACAAATAAAAAGAAAGGGTAATTTTCAATGCTCTGTCTTTGCTTTATTTTAAATATAAATCACACAATAATATACACGTACATGTATGTAAAAGATGTTGTGTCCTTCGTTTTGGGTTATCGGTATTAATGCTTTTTGGCATATAAAATTGCTTAACTTCAAAAAGGTATATTACTGTATACAGGGAAGTTTTCGCCCATTTTATTTTGGTCCCTTTCGCCCTAACCTTGGGCGAATTTAGAAGGGGTGGATTCAAAGAATACAGTATAATTTCTTAAACAAAACTGTGACTTGGCATATTTAAAATGGAGCAAAAGTGTTTGCTAGTGTGAAAGGGTAAAAATAAAGCAGGGCGAAAATAACCCTGTATACAGTATTTGAGATCAAGGAATTTAAAATTTTTTTTCACTAACTGTCATGATCACAACAAGCATACACACACATTCAAAATAAATTATGAAATCATTCATTTTTCTTTACGGTCAATTCTACTTCACTTTTAATCAGTTCTTCTGGACACTGTTGAATAAACAGGATGGCCATGACTGATAACACGAGAAACATTATAAACACATATTCATATCCTATAGCATCAGTGATAGATCCTAGAACCACGGAAAACGCCAGCTTCCCTAGCACCTCCAAAGTAGCCAATGTTGTGTAATGGCTGGCCTGTACATAATCAGGTGCCTTCTTGGAGCACTGCATCATCAGAGTAAAAGTGGCGGTGGTCACAATTCCACTGGTTAACAACATCAGGCACATAGAAATAATGGCAAGAACTAAAAAAAAAAAGATGTGTATTATAATACAACTGTACAAAGTAAGAAGATACAGTAGACTTGTAATGGTCAATTAAAACAATCAAATATGTTTATACATACCAAAACAGACCTGACTCTTGTCTACCCAGGAAAATATAACCAAAGTTGTAAATAACATTGGGATAAGTCTGAATGCACATATATCATGCAGAACTAATGCAGTCATTCTGAAAGAGAATTTTTTCATCCATTATTACGAATGGTGTTAAATTTGTCTTTCACTCCAACTTCATATTTTTTTCTAAATATACTGTTCCTTTGGAAGAGACACAAACTGAATTTCTTACATTGTAACTCAAGTGTTTTGGTTGAATGAACTTGAATCAAACTTGCGATTTCCATGTACAAGTCTTTAATCAAACTAGATGTAGCAGTAAATGTTTTACCTGCTGGTAGACACAATGCCTCCCCCAACAATGGAACCCAGTATAGAGAGCACCTGTCCCACCACACCAGTCCAAAATCCAACAGAAGAGGCCGCTATACCCTTGTCTAGCAGAAATAATGGCAGCATGCTTAAGGCCCCTTGTTCTCCTGAAGTCAATGTAATGTGCAATAATATTATATTACAAATATACAGTAAGGCATTGCAACTTTGCTTGTTTTTATTCAAGGAAAGAAGATAATTTTGGATGAATTTTTGTTCAAAATGCATATAAAAAGTTCTTATGTAATTGATGCTGAATCTACACTACTGGCTTTTAAAGGGGGGGGGGGGGTAAATTGTCCTTTGTAAATAAACTTTAATTCTATCAGATAAGATGTTTACCTAGTTTATAAACTAGAACAAAGCCAATCATCCACCATGTTCCTGGTGACTGGAAAATTTCTATAAAATGCTGTATAAACCATGACTTTTCAGGCTTCTCATCTAAGGTCTCCTTTTTATTGGCTGTTTTATCCTTTGGATTTTTTTTGTCATTGTCAGTGGATGGAACAAGGACGGCAACATTCATTAATGAGATCACATACACAAAGGCAAGACTAAAGAGTAAATAAGACCATTCAAAGTAGTCACTAAGCCAAATTAGTACACCACCCCCAAATATAGAACCTAACTTATACCCAACAACTTGGGCGATATTTCCATATCCAAGTTCTGCTTCTGATAAAACATGAATAGCAATCCCATCCACCGCAATATCCTGGGTCGATGTTAAAAGATTAAAAAGGAACAGCACAATTGCCAGAGGTACGATTGTTTTAGGGGGTGTAAAGGCACCTGTCAAACAGGTAAAGATCAGACCCACCATACTCCAGGCTAGCCATGACTTCTTACTTCCATACTTGTCCACAAAAGGTGCCCATAGGGCTTTCAACATCCATGGTGTAAGGAGAAGTTTGAACAAGCTGATGTCTGTCAATGACATCCCATGTGAACGAAAATATACAGGAAGAAATCTTGCTTGCAAGCCATATGGCAGTCCTTGAATAAAGTAGAGGCATGTTAAAAAAATAACATTCTCAAACATCCTGTTGTAAAAGTACCTCGGATTACCTGAAAAAAGCATTAATCTTTTAACTGATTAAAATATATTTATACAGATATACATGCTGTGTATTATTTTGTATTTGCAAAGTATTTAGGGGAAGACCATTTGATTCTGCGGGTGGGGGGTGTCCGCGTCAGATCATTCTTTTTCATGTCGGTGAAGGACAGATTATTTCCAATAAGATCAAGAGCAGACTATTTATTTTCTTTATCATGTTTATTACTGAAAAAAGTTTGACAACCAAAAAAAGTTCAAAGCTCTAACTCGTGGGAAGGGGTGGGTGGGCTAATAGCACCTGGTCAGGGACAGATTATCTGTTTTCTTGCCTGTCGAGGACAGATTTTCAACATTTTAGAGAACATATTATTTATTTCCGAAAATCACCCTCCCCCTTCAGAATGAAATGGTCGCCCCATTACCAGAGATATATAAGCTATTTATGTCTCTCTAAATCTAATTTAAAATTAGCCACACAATCCGGATATACATCTTAAAACTTCTTATACAGAAAACACAAACAAATAAAGATAAATCATCAAAATGCTGACTTACTAACAAATTACAACTAAACTAGGTCAGAAAACACGCTACTTTCTGTTTGATTGTAAACTTCCGGTTTCACTTTTGTTTTAAGAAGGAGTTCAAAGTTCCGAGGTTATATTTCAATTTTTTAAAGGAAAAAAAGAATAATAGTTATACTATCAATTCAACACTTATAAAAATGATATGGATTCTAATGGGAGTAGATCTAACTTACAGATATTTAAACACTGAAAAGTTTATATATGGCGTATTTTTGATAAGTTCTGACTAACTAAAAATTAATTAAATGAGTTGACGTACTTTCTAATTGTTTTGTTACTCTAAATCAATCATGTTTCATAGATATTCGAGATCGAAAACAACAACCGATTTTAATATAACAATAACTCGGCATTAAATATATCAGACACAATTTTTAAAGTCAGTTGATAACAATATATTTCCATGTCTCTGTGATAACTTTTTGATAGTTAGCGGAATTTATTTCTTGATAAGTCTATCGGAATGTAAATTAGGCGGTTCAATAGGCCAGGGGCTAAGTTCCAAATCGAGTGGAAATAAGTAGCAAGTGAAAAGTAAAATAGCTTTCCTAAACTATTTGTATCAATTTGGAATTTTCCAATCTATTTTAAAGACCAACGTAGAGAAAAAATATCCTGATATTCATCCGGAAGGTAACGTGCAGGTAAGGTGTCATATTGCTAGATTTTTTGAGAAAGCTTTCGACAGGTCCCCCACCAACGCCTCCTGTACAAGCTGAGCTATTTAAGGAATCACTGTCTAGTTAGGAGAGTATGCCAGGGCATCAACAATAGTGGGAAACATGGGATAATTTGCATAACGGGCGAAGCCCGTTATGCTAAAATTATCCATGTTTTCCACTATTGTTGATGTCCCTGGCATACTCTCCTAACTAGACAGTGATTCCTTATATTTCCATTTCATTGTGAAATAAAATTGTAGACTTAGACATTAAAAATGTAGACTAATAGATTTAAATTACACGAGGACTTCCATGCCAATTTCAATAGTCCTCGCACAGTGACGTCAAACACAAAGGCAACCGCACGAGATTCACATGCATATTTGGCCTCCTTAGCGTCAGACACAGAGACAGATGCGCACGAGATTTGCATGCGTATTAGGCCTCCTTAGCTGCTAACCTATCGACCTGCCTAATTTACATTCCGGCAGAATTATCAAGAAATAAACTCCCCCAACTTTCAAACAGTTATCACAGAGAAAAAAATTAGAAATGGAAATATTATGGGATTAGATCCCAATAAGTTCGATTTGTTAGAAGGAAGAATATCAGGTACAGCTGGAGTACCACAGGGAAGTGTCCTTGGACCACTTCTGTTCCTTCTTTTCATTAATGATCTGCCACAGTGTATGTATCCAAACATTCAACTGTCCGCCTCTTTGTAGATGAATGTGCTCTATATCACTGTCTGGTATCCGCGCCGGTGTCGCATAATATTTGGTCCGCCTCGTTTAAAGGTCCGGCCGGACCAAATACGATAACATAATTGGTCCGCCTTTTATAAGAAAAGGTCCGGCCCGTATAAGGAAAGGTCCCCCTACGTTTTAAGGTCCGGGTGGTACAAAATGATTTAATCTTGACTTTAACATATGAAATTAAAGAAAGTTAGTTTATACTATATGATAAGAAGGATTTATCCTGTTGTGTTTTATTTTTTATACAACATAGTTACATGTATTTCTAGACAAGAATCTACTCGTTTAGTGTACTTTGAGCAGTGCCGTTTAGGACCATTATATCTTAAAAATAATGCCACAATTATTGTGCAATTGTTTGTTTTTCCTTAGAATTTGCTTTGTGTAAATTAGTACGATTAAGGGTGTGAAATCTGTCGGTGTGTATAGCTAATAAAACAATGGTGTGTGACGTATTTATTTACCTGACAGGTACCCACAGGTAGAGCCCGCGGCAGATGGCGCTGTCACTGAATGGTCGGTGAACCTAATGATCATGTGTTAGCTTTATATATCAATAGATTTGAATTTTTTTATTTATAAATTATGCTAAGGAACAAAATATTCATGCGTATACTTCAAAACTGTTACATTTATAATAAATAAATTATAATCATATAGACTTAAAGCCTTTATTTGAATATTTTAAGCTAAATATGGCGTATCATAATCAGAGCTAAAAATTAAAAATACTAGATTAAGCGTAGTTTTACATGAGATTTGGTGTTTATGTTTAAATTAAAATTTTCACCAATATTGAACCTAAATATCCCCACGTTTCTATTAGTTAAATTCAAACGAATTGAATTAAAACTGTGTCTGATATTTAAATGCCGAGTCGATAAGAATCTGTCATTGTTTTAAATCTCTGATATCTATACGTGAAACGCAATTGATTTAAATTTCGGTAATGAAATTTTTTAAAGAATTATAGACTGTTTAGCAAATCAAATGTCTTGGACATAAGTTCGGCGCAGTCTTGGACATTTAATTTAGTGAACATTAAATGTGATGAAAAAATTGTATGCTCATTATTTAAACTCTGTTAACTAGACTTAGTGCTTCATGTACAGATGTATATACATAATTTTTATATTAAAGATGTATATACAGAATTTTTATATTAAAAATGTTGTGTATAAGAGATTTTTTTTCAAAATTCCTTTTCTACGTACATGTACCTGGTAAACCTTAAATTGCCGGAGAGGTACCTAGCAAAAATTCCGGAAATGAAAAGAAATAAACGTCGGGAAAAAAGAGTAATTGTCGGAAATAAAATAAAGAAATGTCCGGAAATGAAATGCAGCGGTTCTTTCTGTATATAAAAGAAAGATCTTTTTTTTTTTTTAATATTGTTAGTCTTAACTTAAAAAAAAAAACGCCTTATATGATTTAAAGAAATTCCTTATCCCAAGTGTGGAGTTTAATACTAAGTGAAAGATCGATAAAGAGTAAATGTAATTCTCTGGTTTCCGGTAGTCTTCACAATCACCTTTTGTTTTCTGTTTATAATCATATTTTGGTCCTTTATTTGTGGAAAGTGTAAAATATAACCTCATATTGAATTCGATCTCTATTTACAATTACTGCAGAAACAAAATACATGATTGTAATGTTCAGTTAAAGACTAAAGCAGCTCACTCTATTTGGAAAACATATACATCAATGGATTGTTTTACAAAAGAACTTACCACTCAGACCAAAAACTTAAGCTGATTGTATAATTTTATGAAATTAATGATTCTTTTTGAAGTAGCTGGCATGAAAATATCTTGTTGAATTCTTTTTTAAAAGATTAAAACTATTATCAAATCAACGTACAATAAAAAGTTATGAGCAGATTGAAAGGTCTAATTTTTTTTGTTTTTTTTTTAAACGGGCCCCAGAATTATACTTTTAGTTTATTGGCTTGGATCTAATTTATTCTTATACATGTATCCCTCATCCTCGTCATATCGAAAAGCATAATACATGTAAATATTTATTTTGCGGAAAGAAAAATGGAAACTTTACACTAACAATTACACTTTTTATTATGACGTTGCAGAATGCGGGATAATCTTGTATTGCAAGAGCGATTAAATTTTGAAATCTTTTCAGTAACCGAACTGTAAATTATTTTCTATTATAACCGACATGGAGCCTTTTGCGAAAAGTTGTTTATAATTATTTACCTTACGACTGTATGAAAAGGATAAGCCTGAGGGGAAAGTTTTTTTTATAAGTTCTCGTCCATATATACTCAAAAATAGAGCTCTAGAGTCGCGAAGTAAGGAGTCAATCCTTACGTCGCGGGTTCGAATCCCACTGCGGGACGTGGAGACCGGTCCTTCGGATGAGACCGTATAAACCGAGGTCCCGTGTCACAATAGGTGTGGGCACGAAAAAGATCCCTCCCTGCTCAATGGCCCTAAGTGCCGAGCCAAGGACAAAATTTGTAGCCCTCCACCGGCAAATGGTGGCGTCTCCATATGAGTGAAAAATTCTCGAGCGGGACGTTAAACAATATACAATCAATCAATCAATCAAAATTAGAAGAAAAAAAAAGCACACATGTGTTTACAGTTGGATCCAGCATTACATCACTTGACCCTCTTCATATGTTGTGTATCAAGTATTTTTTAAAATTTTGAATCTCTGCAGACCCCCCCCCCCTCCATCCAACCTCACCCCACCCCGCAACAGTACCCAGAAATAGCCATAGCGCATTTGATAGGCATTTTCGCCTACACTACTAGTGATTTTTTAATTACATTGCTTAACCTAAATTTTGTCATACAATCTTAGTTTATACATGCATAAAACCAAATCACACAATAATGATATGCCAATGTTAATAGTTCCCTCATATGATAAATATAAAAATTATCCAGTTTGTATGGAATATATATATTAAATATTGAGGTATCCACCTAACGATGACAAATTGTTGCCAAAGACCACCCTTAACCAGAAAACAACTTTTGAATAATTTTATTTGGATATGACTGTTCTTCATTACATTTACATAAATTTGGTTAAAGGTGGTCTCTGCTCATTGCAAAGGATATTTCATACGCGGTTTATTTTCGTATAGCATAAGAATCAGAGAAAGTGACATAACGGACCTTAAAGCGCAGCATAATATATAAGGTCCGTCCTCTGTATTTCAGATATCTGTATGTTATAAAGGGAAATTTTTGGACAGGGTTTATTTTCGTAGCTTAAAAAACTAGAGAAAGAGACAGGGCGGACCTTAAAACGCAGTTATCAGAAAAGGTCCGCCCTCTGTATTTCAGATATATTCATGTCATAAAGAGAAATTTTTGGACAGGGTTTATTTTCGTAGCTTAAAAACTAGAGAAAGGGAGAGGGCGGACCTTAAAACGCAGTTATCAGAAAAGGTCCGCCCTCTGTATTTCAGATATCTTTATGTTATAGAGGGAAATTTTTTGACAGGGTTTATTTTCGTACCTTAAAAAACTAGAGAAAGGGACAGGGCGGAACTTAAAACGCAGTTATCAGAAAAGGTCCGCCCTCTGTATTTCATATACCTTTATGTCATCAAGGGATTTTTTTTGGACAGGGTTTATTTTC